TTTGTCTGTTTGTTTGTCTGCACGCTAATCTCAGAAACAGTTCAACCGATTTGAATGCGGTTTTCACTAATGCTTTACCGTTTGCTTTGCTCCACTTAACATTTAGTGTTTATTTTATTTCAATTGGTTCATAAATAAAAAAGTTATATCTATCTAAAGAATCACATATAAAATGCTATAAAATATTCGATCAGTTGAAGTGGCTGAAACTTTATGACGGTAGGTTATATATCATATTTGAACTTATAGGATATTTTATATACCGATTCACGCGAGTAGCGCCGCGGAAAACAGCTAGTTGTTGAATAATGATTTGACAGTGACATTTCTTTCTTTTTTATTATTGACAAGTGTCTGACATTTTTGATGTATTTTTTTTTATTATAACATTTCGAATTTTAATGACTTATTTAACATTTATTCTTTTTAAGTTTTAATATTTGCATGCCTAATTATGGCGAAATATGAGGACTTATACTTATTGTAACATCTATACACTTACCATGTTTCTTGTAAATAAATAAATAAATAAAATAATACTGTGCAATCCATTTGTTCAGTGACTATGAAAAAATATATTGCATTGTATAACACAGACAATTTTACAACTGCTATTAAACAATTGTACAAATAGAATAGAAGAGAACAGAAATAGTCTTTATACGAATAGACTTGTTTACAAGCTCTTATAAACCGTCAATTCTATATGATTGTACAGCTCGGTACGGGATGTTGTTATCTGCTGAGAAGAACTCACAAGATACTCAACAGTTACTCTTTTCGAATTATTATGTACAAGATAATTTTACATTCGCATGGATACTGTAATTATATTTAGAATTAAGTTCTATTTATTAGTATTATTATATGGGAAATAAACAAGCAAATATGAGAAGATCAGTCCCCACAAGCGGCACTCGTTCACGAGTATGAAGGGACGAGCCCGCCATCATCACCAGCCATATCGATTACTACTAATTTATTAATAATTTATTCCTAGTTAGTATATTAGTACCAGAGAGATACTATAAAAGAACGTCTGCATGGATTACTCTGTCCCAACCATCTTTATGCTATGAAGAAGCTGTGCGCGCATGGTTATGTTTTAATTTGAAGGGTACGATATGGCAGTGAACAAGGTAGTAAATGAGGATATTCGCAAAATAACCAAAGTAACCGACATAGCCGTAAGGATGAGCAAGCTGAAGTGGCAATAGGCTGGTAGTTAGTAGTAGGTGGGTATGTAGGTAGTAGTACATAGTTCGAAGAACCGATAATCGATGAAGAAAAAAGGTTCTTGAGTGGCGAACCCGTACGGGCAAACGCAGTATAGGACGACAACTAGATGGAGTGACGACCTGAAATGCATTGCATGTAGTCAGTGGATGCAGGTCGCTCAGAACCGTTCCTTATGGCAGTCTGTAGGGGAGGCCTATGTCCAGTAGACAATAGACAGATAATGGCTGAAAAGATGATGATAATTCCTAAAGAGGGTTGACCTCAGGCAGATAGCTGGTCGTAAAACTAAGCCAAATCTTTTTGTAATGTATGATAAAAAACATATTACGTCGACCGCATATAATAATTGGGATAAGGGTAGGAAGAAAAAGAAGTTGATGATAATGGCATTCTGATATGGAAGTATTTTACTGCCATATCAAAATTTTAGAGTTAATCACGATTTTATAATCCACCGGTTCTATATTCATCATCTGTTATTAGTACATAACTAATTGGTCCTTCGAGCCGGATTATCCGTGATTTTTAAAATTAGTCAAGTATTATGCCACGTTAAAATTAACACGTAATTGTGACAAAAACCCGTTAATTATATATATTAAGCGCAAAGAAAAACTTTAAAATCTATGGATTCATAAATTATTGGTTCTATAGTTATAATCTCGTCTTGTTTTTGCGAGTCTTTTCGAGCGGAGCTTTACTATCTTAATAAAGTTTTCAAGGACGATTTAAAATACACAATGCACTTGACATATCTGCGTCCTAAACGAGTGGCAAACGAATCTAAGAAGAGAACGCCATCCATTGCTATCTCATTACACCGTATGAGATATCTATATCGTACCTATAACTACTTACGTTACTTATCTAGCGAGAGAGAAAGAGACAGAATGAATAATACTTCATTTGTATCAAACACATGTTTGAATAAAAATAACAATATCACACATACAGACAATTGGTATGATTGAAAAAGGGCGGCCCGTGACCTTATAGCTGAGAGTAGTCTTTATCTAGGGGGACGGACGATGCATAATGTACACAAACTATTTTTATCAGGATATAAAACAATATTCTCATGCGACTATATTTTCCAAACTTGTAAACACTTCCAGTAATTTCCAGAGAAAGAATATGGAACACCAAGTTTCACTTCACGATGACATAACAACGAATCGATATTCCCTGGGGAATTATGGTTTGCACTTGGCTCGAGGCCAACGTGTAAAGGTTACTCAGCTGATTATTGTTGTTGCCTGAAACTGGCGTCGTGACAAATAACACGAAATTAAAAACTGTCACACGAATTTTGTAATTTTTTTTTTTATTTCTTTTTAAGTGAATTCAAAAAGAAATTCTTATATTGCCTGATATCTGTATTTTTGCGTATATTACGCGATATTTTGATCAATTTTAAATGTGTTAGTTCCATATTAATTGTATTAAGATTGAGGTCGTATCTATTTGCAATGCCAATAACTATGTGATATCTACCCATGTTTTAGCAAATAAATACGAATATACCTTAATCATAAGTTCTTAAATAACTACGTTTACACTTAAACCAAGCATGAAATATTTAACATTTTATTCACCTAAAAAAATTCAAACTTAATTATGAACATAGAATAAAAATTAATCATTAAAAACAGTCCAAATTTAGAGAATACGAAAAAAAAACTATAATATTTGAGAACCTTTATTTTTTGTAGTCGATTAAATAAGAAAATGCTAGAATTAATCATTTACATTATTGCTTTTTTATTACATGAAATGACATGAAGCTTTGATGATTTATACTCTTCATACAGGTATAAACTAATTATATATATATATATATATATATATATATATATATATATATATATATATATATATATATATATATATATATATATATATATATATATATATATATATATATATATATATATATATATATATATATATATATATATATATATATATATATATACACTAATATTTTCCTCAGAAAAGTTTCCGCTGTTTACCCAATTAACGTTCGGACGGTCAAAGCAATCTATAGAAATTAGCACGATAAGTGCCTGGTGACGGACGTCGTAGGTGTCTGGTGTAACGAGTATGTATTATCGCCTGCTAGGGGCAAGAATGAAGCATATTTATTTGTAATTGAAATCACTACCATTTGTCAACAAGTTTGTACAAAAATCTTCTGCATGAGTAGAACTACGGTTTCTGTCGTGAAACAATTGTGTTGGTGTATCTATTTCATCCATCCATCCCACCCTTGTCTTCGCATTATATATTATTTGTCCAATAGTATTCTTGAAGTAAAAAATACGCCTTACTAATTAACAGCTATTTATAGCCTGATCAAGGTAGTCATATTAATGTGCAACTACCCTCTCACAAAACTATTCTCTTAATATCTATATCTCAGATTTGAAGAGTGGAATATGGGTACGTAGGCTTCTACGAAGGATTTTACTGAAGAATATTAAAGTACAAGGGAGTTATCATGGGCACAGTGTATGTGTACCATATGTACATGGTTACAGTGTATTCTATGATGCCCATGATGATTTTCAATTCTATACGCGACGGATACCACTTTCCATCAGGTAGTTAGATTCTACTGGTCCAAAAAACAATATGTTAAAAGACTGTTATCCAAAAAATAATATTAGATAACAAACTTCGAACATATTCGAAAATAGATATCCGCCCGATATGGGCGATATCGTAATGGTCGATGATCCTTCCGCCATCAATGTCCAGAGAAATACAGTATACAGATATCGGATCGGTATCCATAATATCCATGTCTATTTAGTAGTAACTGTGTAGTTATATAATCGGAATTTATACATGAGGAAAATGACCATCTCGACCTATTTGGCAATATGAAAATATATGACTAACATTTTTCAGCAAACATTTCCGAAACTAGGCAAATATTTAGACGGTGTGACGCGAATTTGCCTTGGGAAATTGACCGTGTAAGTTATTTTTGGCACAGTGCAAATTTTGACACTTTTGCATTTTACCAACGATTGGATTGAAAAGTTTTATTTTTTACATAAAGCCTTAATTTTAATTTCCATAATGAATGCAGTTTACTTAAGTAATTATCAGAACTTTGCACTTTGAACTTTTTTATAAAAATATAGATGTGATAGATTAATAAAAACAGCTAAATAGGATATCTCCCTAGAAGTACTTTACCAGAGGGAGACTTTGTACAAAAGTCGATTGTTTGGGTACCTCTGTCCCGTTCGTGTTTCAACCGTGAAGCTGTTGTTTGCACGACTGTGTTTCGGTTTGAAGGGTGGGATACAGCGTGAATTTACTGGGTACAGAGGAATAACACCAGAGTCCTCAGGAATGGCAAAGCGTGGAGGGTATTATGAGCGAAATAGTATACTCTGTTATGTCCATGGTACTGCTCATGTCTATAGGCGATGGTTACCACTTTCCATCAGGTGGGCCGTCAGCTTGTTTGCCATTCTAAGTAACTTCAACAGAATCGTCCTAAAATTTTTTAAATGACGCGAAGTTTTAATAAAACTTTTTGAGTACATATAAAATTGTAATCAAGAAAAGACTTTTATTATACAAATCGCAGTGTTATACATTTACTATATGTGATTATCATTATCAATAGTACATTAATCAAACTATAATATGAGAAGCAACATTCAGTTGGTCGATCGTATATTGGTACTTTTATGTCAACCACTCGACGCACCATAGATGTAAATGGTCTAGATGTGACGTACCTGAGCTGAGCGCAGTAGTACTGGTGCGGGATGGCGGTCAATACACCAGCACCGTCTCCGGTGTCATTGTCGCAGGCGCACGCGCCGCGATGCTCCATGCGTTTAGCGAGGACTTCTGCATCACGGACGATCTATGACGAACATTCATCATGTAGATTTGTTTCGTTGTACCAGCTGTTCACTGATGAACATAACCTCCTCCATAAAGGGAGTTTTGCCACGCTTGGCAACCACAGTTTGACTTTGGTGATTTTTTAAGAGGAATGTTGCTAACCATTTCTCTACTATAAGCTCCCTTAGTCGACTCTTACGACAAACAACCACGGAAAAGGAAAGGGTGTCCTATTCTATGCTGGATCTTAAACGACTTTGTTTTGGTTTATAATTGTTATACTCGGCGTTTTCATTAAAACTACTAAGTGAGTCGCAGAATTCTATAAGTAAATTATTTCTTTCTTTTCAAATTTTTTGTTTTATTTTTATACCAAATACGTTGTAGATTAAACAATGAAGAAATACATCTAAATCAATCTTAAAAAGATTTGTATTTTTTTTGTAATGGTTTATCCTCAAAAAATTCTTAACCCATTTTTTTTTATTTTTTCACGCATAGAAAGCTACATTATCAGCCATTATTAAAATAATATATAACCTATGTTAGGTTATATATTATTTTCGTTTATTATGGACGGATACCACATTCCATCAGGTGGGGCGTCATCTTGTTTGCCATTCTAAATTGCGTAAAAAAATTCTAGACTTGAGCATGGACTAAGAAATTCCTGAAAATTGTATATGATTCATAGACAATGAGTATACTCACTTTATGACTACGTTTACCGTCGATAGCAACAACAAAACCAACACCGCAAGCTTCGTGCTCGTTCTGTGGGTCGTACAAGCCTTGCTTGCTCGGCCCTTCCCACTCCATACCTTCGAAAAACAGAGGTTCCTGAAGTATGATATTTATACTCTATTTCAGTAGAAATTAATTACAAGGTAACCAAGTTTTATTGAAATTATTACAGAAAGACACTCCAAAAAAAATTAATAACAAATCGAAACATTTAAGGAATTGATAAATTTTTGTTTAATGCTACTATTGGATAACAGGAGGAGGGGGGGGGGGGGAATTGTTAGTAATGGAGTCTAACTGACCCATTGCTAGCAACACAAAATCAGATCGACCTCCACGCGGTTCCCCGTGGAAACCATCGTGGTTAATTCTAGTGGAATTCGTCATGATGGGCTAATTGATCTGCTTCATCGTCACCTATCATCTCTCACTGGTGCCCCGCCAGCGTATATCGATAGCGCAGGCGGGGCTACCATTCCGTTATCACTCATTAAAAAAAAAACAGGGGAGAGGAATTGTTAGTAGTGGGGATCCATTGCTAGTCACGCGGTTCCTCCTGGATACCGTCGTAATTAATTCTTGTTGAATCCGTCACAATGGATTAACTCCTCTAGTTTCATCCTAGCCTATCACCGCTCACTGGTGCTCAGGGGGAAGCGATTATTGGTAATGCGGACTACCAGTCCCACTGCTAGCAATATACCCTGACAGGTCGACCTCCACGTGGTTCCCCCTGGAAATCATCATGACTAATTGTTAATGAATCCGTCACCATGGACTATAACCGACCTGGTTTTATCCTCGTCTATCACCCACTCACTGGTGCCCCGTCGTCGTATACCGATAGCGCAAATGAAATTACCATTCCATTATCATCTCATAAACTATTGGACATCAGTATACCGCTTTATAGTTGAATTAATTATTTATGTTACATGTTTGTTTACATAGTTACAAGTTTCATTTTACCAGAGGCAGACTTTGTATAAAAGTCGTTTATTTGGGTACCTCTGTCCAATTCGTGTTTCAACCGTAAAGCACTTGTGTTTGCCTGGCTGTGTTTCGGTTTGAAGGGTGGGATATGACGTGTATTTACAGGTGAATTTACACCTGAGTACTCAGGAACGGCAACGCATGGGGGGTATCATGGGCAAAAAAGTATACTCTGTTATGTTCATGGTTCTGCTCATGTCTATAGGCGACGGTTACTTTCCATCAGGTGGGCCGTCAGCTTGTTTGCCATTCTAAGTTGTATAAAAAAAAGTACTAATGAATTGAATGTAAACAATGGGTATACACCTGAAATAAAAAGATTTTTTTTTAAACAGAATTATTACAGAGCGTTATGATTTGTATGTCTGTATGGCAACCATACGTCTAACGTGAACTGAAAAGCCTCAATAAAAAAGTTTAAAAACATGTCATGGTATGAAACGCATACTAGGGGAAATTAGCTACACAAATGTGTTTATTATATTTAAAATGTGTTTATTATACTATCAGTGCCAGCGAATCGCGGATCTTTTTATCTCGGCCACACGCCGAGATAACTACCCTCTTCATCCAAAATTCTACTTGTAAGTTAAATTTCATAACGATTAATTGAGCCGTTATAAGGCGCTGAGAGGAAGTTAAGTTCTTAGAAATATATTTTAGTACATACAAGACAGATTGGTTGAAGAAAACAAATCAAAACTAATCTTTTTTTATTTGCTTGGACCAAAATAATTGTAGTATAATTACTGTAGGGTACTTACACTAATAGAATAAACAGATATGAGTATGGAAATAAACGCCATTCTAAGATATCCTCAGCACTTCACCTTGCTCCACAAATAACATTACTAACAAAACGTTATCACGAGTTCAAGGGCATGAGACATTGACTGCGTCTATTGCGCAAAAGCCGGCAACTACGTATCAAATGAATATCAAACTAATATAAAAATAAAGAGAACATTCATACCGTTATCTCACATCTCGTGAAACGTGATAATCATAAGAAATCCAAGGATTCATATGGGGTAATGAGAGATCGCTAACGCGACGAATAGCTTTCGTATAACTCCCTCGTTTAATGAGAACTAAAACATTCTCTAAATCCATTTTCACTATTACACTTTGTTTTGTCACTTTCTTTCAAATTCAGACAAAAACAGTACAATAGCTAAAACAGATTCATAGGAGGTTTGATGTTTTTTATGAATATGAGAGGGTATGCCTATATAAATAATATAAAATTTATTTTTGACTTCTTAATATTGGGATTTAAATTGTTGTCTATACAAAATTACATTGAAATAAATACAGTAAATTAATCGAAAAGAATACAAAATATGTTTTCGTACAATTTAATTAAGCAAGAAAATGAAAATACCTTGATAGTCATAATTCTGGCTGATAAATAATTTGTGTATTTACTTATTTTTTTTATTATAGAAATATATATGTACAAGTGGACAGGATACTAGTAAACCTTCTTTTCAAATCAGTCAATGTGGAATACACTAAAGTGGTATATGAATTGGTTAATTTAGTTTTTTTTTATTACCTTAATTGACGGAAGCTTTTCATAAGTAATTTGTAGAGTAGAGATTGTTAGTAAATAGAGAGTATATTTCCTTATTTGATTATAGACTAGCTGACCCAACAAACTTATTGTGTTACTACCCCCTACAGAGACAATTTATTCTCATCAGGATAAAAAATATACTACCTCACAATTTTTTTTAATAGATGAAAGTGGAATAGTAACCCTGCCATATGTGAGGATAAAAGCGGGTCAGTTGCCCATCGTGAAGAATTCAACAACAATTAACCACAATGGTTTTCAGGGGAACTGCATGAAGGTCTACCTTAAGTTATTGTCGTCCTATCAATGGTCAACTATCCATTGCTGAACATAGACCTCCCCCATTAAGAGGTTTTGGCACTAGTTATGTATACTTGGCATGTGGGATGGTATTTGCAGTTAGACTTTAGTGATGTATTTAGAGGGACGCTGCTGCCCATCCTTCGACCATTAATTTCCCTTAATGGCCTTTAATAACACTTACCACATGGAATTTTTTTTTTTATACTACTGAGAATAGCAAATAAGCTGACAGCCCATCTGACGAAAAGTGATAACCGTCGCCTATAGACATGAGCAATACCGTGGACATAACAGAATTTACCGTTTCACCCATGATAACCCCCATGTGTTGCCATTCCTGAGGACTCAGGTGTTATTCCTCTGTACCCTGTAAATTCACACCATATCCCACCCTTCAAACCGAAACACAGCCATGCAGACAACTGCTTTACGGTTGAAACACAAATGGGACAGAGGTACCCAATTTTGCAATTATAGTACATCTTAGAAAATTTAATTAAAATTTGATGAGTGATTTCAGAGATTAGCATGAATGAACATTATAATATGGGATTATTATTTTATTATGCTTTCAAAATTTATTATTTAAACAAGTGTGTAACCAAAGGTAGGTTGCACAGTCTTTTGAAATAGTGTTTACAACTAGAAAACTATTGTTGTAAATATGACGAGTTGGTTGCAACTATTAGTTCAGTTGTGTTACATATATCTTATATGGCTTGTAGACTCTAAGTAAAATCTTAAGATCTCAAATTATTTAATATAATATCTCACGTTATTAAATAATAACACTAATTCATAAATATATATTTTTATAAATTACATTACAATGGTTTAAAATAGTTTTAGTAACTAAGTATTTATATATAAATTTATGAATGAGCAAAAATATATATTTCAAATGAGGGTAATGCACTTATATGGGGTAAGATGTAGTTTTGGTTAATAAGTTACCTTAAGAGTAGAATTTAATTATTGATACAGAAATAAAATAACATAGACACGGTTGAAATTAATGTGGATGATTGGAAGTAATGACGATTAACAGGAATCAGTAAAATGAAAAAGGAAATGTTGGGCTTAAATACTGAAATAAAAAGCAAGGCAGTGATTAGTATCATGGAAAATCACGTGTACCTATTACTTAATACGAAGTTTAAATAAAAACCGGCGTATAATTGACCATATGTAATTGAGTTGTTTATTTAAGAATATTTACAATACAAGAACTTCGAATGAACCAAACATTGAATAAAGATTACTTATAAGTTTCCACGTATGCACTATCAATACCGACTAACAAATTATGAACGTGGACGCAAAAATAAACTAACAACGCACCAGAAAAACTCACCTTAAAATAACTTTTAAAAAAATTCACGAAACTGTTTGATAAGAACACTGCGCAATATTCGCACTTTCACCGATTAGGTAATAAAAATAATACAATATATGTATAACAATAGAAAAACAAAATTTAACTCTGAACCACAGAAATTACCAAGTCGACGTAGTGACCACTCTCTAGACGACTACGACGACCGATAATAATAACTAACCGACACTGGCGAAGAGACTGATAAAATTTTATTATACAATATACAATTGACAGCCGTCATTGTCAAAATTTTTTTTTTTTTTTTTTACGTTTGTTCCGACCAACCCGAACAAATTGTCTGGACAGTCCGTCATTGTCAATGTCAATCAGATGATGCTGTCAAACGTTCCACTACAGACTACACTTTGCTACAGATAACACAGTCTTTAATAGCACTGTGAAAAAAATACATAGTTTGTATTAAGAGTTAGCAGTTGTAGGAAGTTAAAAAACCTGCAGTATGTTCTCAACTACATATTGTAAACAACATATTTTTACAGTTTCTTTATACTAGTGAAGGTTCATTCATGTTCACTATTTACAGTAATTAATTAACGAATTAGTTAATCCGAAGTAACTATGAAACTAAATTTGTAACATTAAAACATCCCATTATATACTTACATGAAATTACAGAATATCAGTTCAGTGACGTAAAAACTTTCAACTACACTCATCGAAAGTCAAAATACTCAATAAAAATCTAAAATAAAAGTAATAACAAAAAATAATTTAAAAAGTTACTATAATGCCGTTAAAACGTAACTAAAAACATTAATCACCTCATGAATATAAATTAATGAGTACAATTAGATAACATTAAGATATTCTTGTTTCAAAATTCTCTGTTATATGCAGCCCTGTAGCCATATTGATAATCAATAAACATAATCCGACGTGACCAACACAAAGAAATGAAAAATTATGACTTTTTATTAACTCGACTACGCAGCAAAAATTGTATAATTTTTGACATATTTTCTATTAACTAAAAGCAATCAATAAACTAATGTTAGTAGTATCTCTGTATTACATGATATATTACTGTTTAACATCATTTGATAAAGAAAAGCGTATCGAATCCTTTTGGCAATTAGTGATCAATCGTGGTATTTTATATCATGTCTTTTACAATTAGCAGTTATTTATGAAATATTTGCATAATATTTGTTGTTCAAGGAACTATCATGGGTTTTACTAATCTTTATGCTTAGCAGAAATCGTAGAATATGACTAAGAAGTAATATTTCAAAAATCTTTTCAGTTCACTTAAAATTATAAATTTTGACATTTAAATACTGATGATATTTGGCATTTAGTGCTTATTTATATACACTTAACATTTATATTTTCAAGTGTAAGTAAATATATATTTTGTAACAGTTTACAATTAACATACAAACTATAAATTAAAATCGTAGGTTTTTAATCATTCTTTTTTGATTATTAACCGTCTACGGATAACTTTATATAACAACTGTCAAAGTAGCGTGCTGTCAAGTCATGAAGACATGATACAAGTTTAATTTGACAGCACAAAATACAATATGAAAAAAAAAACAGTCTGTTGATTTACCGCGAAAGTTGTGGTTGTTTGTAATTGTTTCTTTTATTCAAGTTACGAAATAAAATTTATTTTACGCAATTGTTCTTTCTGTTGTTGTTTTTTAAAAAGAAATAATATACTTGGTGATATAGTCGTGTGTTTATGTTGGAATAAAGTCTACATTTTGAGTGTAAAGTTTAAATTCCTGCAGAAAAGGTGCCCATTGATTAAATAGTTATTTTCGCGCTTTCCAAATTTGAATCGTACACTTAATATTGTATTTTTTAAAAGGTTTATATATTACTGGAAAATGAGTCTTAGCAGTTTAAGATGTATAAGAAAGTACAATAATTTAGTGAATGTCCATATATCAAGTGCAATGGTTTCGAAAGTTTTGGGACCTTGTAAAAGGGAAGTGAGCACAAGCAGTTCGCAGCGAGCCAATGTTGCAACACATAATTCGAAGCCAGATTGGAATAGAGCTGTGAGCGAAGCGGAGAAGATTGTTGGATACCCGACATCGTTTCTGAGTCTGAGATGGGTACTCAGCGACGAGATCGCAAATGTCGCACTTCATTTGAGGAAACTCGTGGGAAGCAATCATCCTTTGTTGAAGACGGCCAAGTTAGTTATTTCTATTATTTTAGCATTCACTTTTTAATTCATTATTAATAATTGCATATTAATGTTTGGGAATCATAATACGATTGTGTCACTAACCAGGTGGAAATTTATTTAGCAATTTCGTAATTGATTTGTGGGATACATAGTTGTGTAAATAGATGGGTGATTACGTTACATTACCGTTACTCTGTATGAGAATTTTTTACTATAAATACAGGACAACCGTAGCGGTTATTATTTTAACCGACTTCAAGAAAGAAATAGGAGTCTTATAAAATTTTTAGCTTTTTTAGATCGAGATGAAAGTTTTAAGTAGTTTTTTTTAATTCATCTAAAATAATGAAACTACCAGAGCCCTAAAAAAAAATATTTACGATTAAAATTCCTGATAGTCAGATCAGAAGGTTCTGTCTCTTATCTATGACCATTGTGGTGACTGTAAAACCGACATATCCCTATTTCGCCGAGCGCACATATACTTTTTTAAATGAATGATAATGGAATAATAATGATAAATCCGCCATCGGTATACACTGGGCACTGGGCTTGGGGCACCAGAGAGGGATGATAGGTGAGGATGAAAAGGCGGGTCAGTTAGCCCATCCATTCTCACCCGAGCGCACCTATTTGACTCCAACGGCGAGAGTCAAACTAATGACCTTCGAGGTCTGTAAGTTTGATACTAAGTACATATCTACTTATACCAATGGGGGGCAGGGAGAAAAGGGATTGTTAGTAATGGGGTCTAACATTGCCATTGCTAGCAATATACCCTATATGGTCGACTTCTACGAGGTTCCCTTTGGGAACCGTCGTGGGTTGTGTCGTCGTGAAACCTTGGGAAACTGACCTGTCATCCTCACTGGTGTCTTGCGCATTTCATCACCACTTACAAACAACAAGAAACCGCAGTTAGGTTTTGTAGATGTATTCAGAGAGACGCTGCTGCCCGTCCCTCGCTCTTCTTTAGTCGTCTCTTACGGCACCCACAGGAAGAGAAGGGGTCGCCTATTCATACGGCAAAATTACCTGACTATATCCTTATTTATCATCACTCAATGCTGCATCTCGAATGTCGATAGCGCAGGTGGGGCTACCAAAATAATTTCAATAAAAATGAGATTGTAATGATATTAGATATTGTCTATATCTATATGTTATGGAAAATTAATAAACTCACTGTGTTTTTACCGTTTCTGAAAATAGGCATCGGATAAAAAATTAATATAAATTTAAAAAATAATATAATAGATATTGGGTACATATCTGGTATGTTTGCAGAGAACAGGGTTAATGATTTTTTTGCTATTTTACGTAATTATAAGGCAAAATTTCATCAAAGATTAATGACAATAAGTAATCATATTGTAAAGACTGTATTTCTCACTGCATACCTGACGACAAAAGATTTTATAATGAAATAATTTAAATTTGTATTTTGTAACTAATGTTTAAAATTAATAATAATAGTTTGTATAATTAATAATGTAACTGTAAACTATGGGTATATACCTGAAAATAAAGAGATTTATTATTATTATATCGTGGTTCTCAATGTTTATAAGCAGAAAGAAACTCACAGACTCCCGTCATAGTTGAAAAATCGAATAAATTACTTAAAATCGTGATCATAGCCTCATAAAGTATTATTTACACACATACACATTATGATCATTATGAAGTGGGCAATAAAGGTCGACGTTGTGAAGGCTGCCAATTGCTTTACCGACCTAAGTATATTCGTGTATCACGTAATATCATAGTTTCAGCGTCTCGAATTCTAGATATTATTTCTCACTGTAAAAATTTCATTGTAATGTAAGCACTGTCTATACAAGTACAAAAATAATAAAATTAAGGCTTTAGGTACATAAGTGATATACTTATATATTTTTATTATTCGAAAATTAGCTGGTGAAATGATTTCGTGACGGCCCGAATTTCGGACAATCCAAGCAGTAGGCTGCGTTGCCGTATATGGCGATAGGCCGTAGGATAGGAATAATCCATGCCTATACGCACTTCTACTTCTATATTTTGTTCCCAAAAAAAAATAATGGCTTTAATATTGTTAACCAACGCTCTGTGTGGGAAGAAATTGAAAGAAAAAATATACGAAAATATAATAATAGTTTATTTCAAAGTAAATGCTACGATCGTCTTTAAACATAGTATGTATATACTTTGTTTAAAGCTAGTATACATGAAAATGTATTGCTTCGTTCACGTGGATTTCAGAAGTAGGAAAACTAATGAAATAGAACACTTTTAGATGATGTATCATGATAAAACATACACCAGTTTTTAAGTTCAGAATTATAAAACTGGAAATCCAATTTGGTACAGTGGTTTTTACGTGATGCCTGAACGAATATACAGACAGACAAAGTCTTAAAAGAATTATTGTTTTCGGGTGTATTCGTTTGGTTATTTTATTGCTAGATATATACCTATAGCAATTTATTTCCATTGCAGGAACCTGATCTACAATGGGAAGAACAATATGCAGGCATGGGGTCTCATCGTATTGTTGGTGTCGAAGGCGGCCGGCCATAGTCCCGAGATACCTGATATGGAGCAAGACAAAGCTGCCGGTGTGCTGCATAGGTAACTTTTTTAATTTTGGGCAACATATAACTTTAATATCAGGAAGAGGATCAATAATGTCGTTTGGCGGCATCATTGCTAGCAATAGGTATATCTTGTCAGGAAAATCTCCACGCGCTCCTTCCTAGCCACCATCGTGGTTAATTCTTGGTGGTTTCGTCATTATGGGTCAACTGGTACTCCGCCAACGTATATCGTATATCGATAGCGCAAGCGAGGTTACAACTTCATTCATCATCCTCATATCAGCCATTATCTGTCCACTGTAGAACATAGGACTCCTCCTATTGGGAGGTTTTGCCAGTAGTTGCCACGCTTGGCAGGCGGGTTGACAACCGCTGTTAGATTTTAGTGATGTTTAATTAGGGACGCTACTGCCCATTCCTCGTCCTCCCTTAGTCGCCTCTTACGACACCAACGGGAAAGAAGCGGTGGCCCATTCCATAAAAAAAAAACCTAAATGAGATTATGTATTTTTATTAATCAGTCTCGTTAGATTTGTCTTATATTGTGGGAGTTCTACTACAGAAATATCACTATAAATATATATATTTGTTTTTGCAAAAAAACAAGCTACTTCAATCATGAAGAAAACAATTCGAAGGTTCAAAGAGCAAAGAAATTCTTATGCTTTGATGTTTCATGTCAAAATCTATCTGTAATATAAAGATATCGTGATTTCAACTTTTTTCAGAATAATGGGTGTCAACAGCGCCTAAATTATCATCCGTTACTAATGTGGAGCAAACATTTCAATATTCATGTGGCATGGAAACCAAACAAACATATATAAATTTGCAATATTGTTCACGCTATACATGATTATTTCTAAATTCTTTACCTAATAGCCCAAAATTACTACAGAGCTGAAATTTGGTGGAGACCTTGGGTACACTATTAAAAATAAAATACCAAAAGTCCCTACCGATCCCATGTGTGTTAAAAAAGTTATTCAAGGTTAAAGGTAAAAATTATAAGTTTCTTGGATATGAACGGTAAGTTTAATAAAAAAAAAAAAAGTAGGCCAGACGAAAATTGTAGATTACAAAATCATAAATTTTTTGATCCACCAATTTTAAGCCCTATGGGAATTTTGTAATTTGATCATTATTTTTCTGTTTTGACTGGACTGTAACCAAAGGGAGATTTTGTACAAAAGTTGTTTGCTTGGGTACCTCTGCCTCATTCGTATCTCCACCGTGTAACAGTTGTGTTTGTATGGCTGTGTTTGGGTTTGAAGAGCATATCTAGTTTGAATATGGCAATAAAATTATATGTACAGAGGCATAACACCTTAGTCCTCAGGAAAAAAACGTATGAATGGTATCATGGGGGAAACAGTATACTCTGTTATGTCCATGTCTATAGGCGACGGTTACCACTTTCCATCAGGTGGGTCGTCAAATTGTTTGCCATTCTGAGTTGCATAAAAAATAATAATAACATTTTTACTTATAAAACTGAAACAGATTGTAGTGTTTAACATTCGTATGTATTTAATTTTCCTTATATGATTCTATGGCATACCATGCAGATTCAAATAGCACTGCTTATATTGAATACCAAGTGTTACCTGGGATTTTATTAATGTGGAACATGTCTATATGACTCATAATGTATCCCATATGTCAAGCGAGTAATGTAGTCTTAGCGTACTGAACTTTGATACGTTCATATCATAATGTTTAGTGATCTGTACTTCATACATATTTATGGATATCGCTAACTGGAGGTGACGTTGTCGAGATGGCGAGAAATCGTGTAAATATTTAATCCATGTGCGAATAAAAATTAAATGCTGTTCTATGGTAAGCAAGAACGTGACAATGACTTGATAGATTTGGCTTTTTTTATATTTGTAATAGTTTCAGCTTTGTATAATATAATTTATAAGTCTAGGTAGACTCGGATAGAGTCTCAGAGAGATTATTTTTTATAAATTTATACCTATAAAATTTAAAATTAACCTCTCTAAATGTCACAATTTTCCGTTTCTAATCCATAATATTCTTATTTCCTATTATTTTAATGGTATTAGCTCTCTCTTAAATAAAATTATAATTGAAGAAAATATTTAATAGTAATTAAATAGAATTAAAATAAGTTAAAAAAATTAAAGAGAATTAAATATATATATATATATATATATATATATATTATGGGTGAAAATGGTATGGTAACCCCACCTTCGCTAACGGGATACGTTGGCGGAGCACTAGTGAAGGCTGATTGATGAGAATAAAAACAGGCCAGTTAGCCCATCATGATGAATTCATCAGAAATTAACCATGATAGTTTCCAGGGGGAACCGCGAGGAAGTCGACCTGGTTGGGTATATTGTTAGCAATGGGATTCTTAGTCCATTACTTACAATCCCTTTCCCCCCAGATATATATATTATTATGTAGATTTATACTCGTAAGTGAATAGTAAAAGGCATTGGCTTATTTATACTTTTAAACGATTTCAAAAAGGAAGAGGTCAACTCGATTGTTACTTTATTTGTATGTTCCGCGACATCTTTGGTAATCTAAACGAATGTGATGATTATTTTTATAATGGATACAGGGTTTATTTCTGTGTTGGTCGCATTTTAATTTTCTTGAAATAAAAGTCTGGTTCTTTTTTTTTATGCAACAAAATCTAATTTATTAATTATGTTAAGACTGCCAAGTACCTATCCTATTTTCCTGTTATTACAAGCCTCAATGATTCTGTCAGCATGGTTAACTTACACACACCAGTGTATTATAAAAATACTAAATAGCGGTAGTATTTCCTTATTGGGTACTTTTTTCGCAATTTTGGGTAAAAAGTTTTTATTTGCCTAATTTTGAAGAAAATTTTAGAGAAGAGTTGTAATGGGCTTGGAGAAATTTGTGTAATTTTTTTTTCAAAATTGGGTAATTGTTTCAGTACTTGTAAACTTTGTAGACAATTCCAGTAAAATACATGAGTGAAGGTACATAAGGAAAAGAGAAAGGGAGGAATGACAGAAACAAAAGAAATTAATTTTTCGTTGTTCATTTTATGGCACATGGCAAAACATAGTGAAAAACATTGCTACTTTGTGATAGGGTAAAAATCTTGAAAATCATATAGATTATGAGAAAAAATATTTCACGTTTGTGTAGAAATTAATCGCATCGCATCGCATCTGGCAACCCTGAATCTACTCGGTATATAATAATTATGTTTTTACTTAAATAAGAAGAACCAGTATTTCTGCGTGTACATGCGTTACAATGAAAACCTTCACTCAACGAGTTCCTTGTCCGCAGTCAGCGGGCGTTGGCCGAGGTCACGGAGATGATCCGCACCTCGCACTTGGTACACAAAGGGCTCGTCAACATGAACGTTAGCCAGCAGTTCACTCGCGACCCAGACGACATGGTGTTCGGCAACAAGATCGCACTCCTCGGCGGCGACTATTTGCTCGCTAACTCGTGCTCGGAGCTCGCCAACTTGAGGTAAGATTATATTTACATCGTAAATACTATTCATTTTTTCATCAGGCAAAATCACTCCATTCAGATGAACAGTGTAATCCAAATCAGAAGGTCACCAATACTAATTATCGTTACTCTGACAGTCTATTCAATGGTACAATACTTTATTTAGCAAATCCAAAATCTTGAATTTTTTTATACAACTTAGAATGGCAAACAAGCTGACGGCCCACCTGATGGAAAGTGGGAACCGTCGCCTATAGACATGAGCAGTACCATGGACATAACAGAGTATTTTGTTTCTGAATGTTCAGCAGATATACTATAAAATGTGAAATAAAGAAAACTAAGTCTGCAATTTGACTAAATCAATTTTATCATCATCATATCCACCTTTAACTGTCCACTGCTGAACGTAAGCCTCCCCCTAGGGGTTTTGCCAGTAGTTGCCACGCTTGGCAGGCGAATTGGTAATCACAGTCAGGATTTAGAGATGATTAAGAGGGACGCTGCTGCTCATCCTTTGCCCTCCCTTAATCGGTTCTTACGACATCCACGGGATAGGAAAGGGTGGCCTATTCTACGCCGGGACTACACGACCAAATCAACTTTACTTATATGTAAATTTACCAGAGGGAGACTTTGTACAAAAGTCGTTTGCTTGGGTACCTCTGCCCATTCGTGTTTCAACCGTAAAACAATTGTGTTTTCATGGCTGTGTATCGGTTTAAAGGGTGTGATATGGCGTGAATTTATAGGGTACAGAGGAATAACACCTGAGTCCTCAGTAATGGTAACGCATGGGGGTATCATGGGCGAAACAAAATACTCTGTTATGTCCATAGTACTGCTCATGTCTATAGGCGACGGTGACAACTTTCGATCAAGTGGGCCGTCAGCTTGTTTGCCATTCTAAGTTGTATAAAAAAAAAAAAATTAAATGCTAATAAACAAATGAATTCAAAAATAAAAGAACCGACAACCGCTCCGCTGATGATCTAGCCAAAGTTAAGTCCCAGACGTCTCGCTGGACCACGAAGCCACACAATATATGTCTAAACAATGCTGAATAGGAACTACAAGCTCCTATTCACCATTGTTTAGGTACATGCAGTGTATTTCCACAAGGTGACGGGGATCCCCAGGATGTCGTTAGAGGCGATTATAGTGGTACAAAGTTTACACGTGTACAAGAAAAGGAAAGGTCGACATAAAACACTATAAGCCTACGCCGGCGTGGTAATAACTTTCTCTTATGGGGAGAGACTTAGGTCAGCAGTGGGAAATGTGCTGTTATATGATGGTCATGTTAACATAAACGCAATGATGTCGTAACTGTAAATCTGCACGGAGTCTATTAATTATTGTAAGTTTTATTGAGTAGTTGTTCTAAACTTAACTTTTCTCACTGTGATTATTTCTTGTAATCATTTGTATCTACAATAAGTTTACTACTGTGATATTTTGGACAATAAAGAGTCTCTGAAGAGAGATTTATTTAAACAATTAAGAGTATCTATCTATCTTACATTTGAAAAAAGCAACATCGATGTTTTTTGCCCGTATTTCTTAGCTGTCATTGCATTCCAAACTAGGCGGTACATTAATAAAAAAAAATGACTATTTAAAAATGTTTATAAATAAGTTTACTTGAATAAAAATTCTTTATTATTATATAAAACTTCGCTTACATTAAGAACTTGTGAACGCGCCGTGTTTGATAATGATGTTGTAAGTGAATTAACACCATCGTGCCGTTCGTCGCCATTCTCGTTTCACCATCAATGGTTATGTTGTCGTTAGGCAATACATGACCATATACATGGTACTTGCTAAATAAACGACAATTGTCCACTGGTGAACATAGGCCTCTTATTTTTTTTTTATTTTGCCAGTAGTTGACACGCTTGATAGGTAATGTGACAATCGCAGTTTAGCTTTGGTGATATTTTAACAAGGATGCTGCTGCCCATCCTTCGACCATTGACTTCTCATAGTCGCCCGTTACGACACCCTCGGGAAAAGAAGGGGTGATCCATTCTATGCCGGGACTATAGTCCCGGCATAGAATGGATCACCCCTTCCTTATACGGTTCTAATCTAAAATAAACGATATAGATAAAATATATGTATAAATGTAGTTTGTTGCTTTATCACAAGCAAGTATCAGAGAAAAACCAGAATCGTTTATGATACCATAACCATCGAATGAAGTGTTTTTTAAACGTTTTCTAGCATCGTTATTATATAGTTAATTTTAAACTTTCGCGTTGTTTATACATATTTTAAATACACAATCGGGACTTAAAGTGTTGTTAAAACTTTTACAAGTAAATAGTATCTACATACCTTCTTCTTTATTGCCGACGTTATTATACCTATGTGTTATTATATCTGAATATGTGAAATGGCGCGAAATCGAAAGAAGTTTTTAAAATAATAAACGTGTTCCAAATTCAAAATAATTAAGAAGTTGAAAAAAAGAAATGTTTTTATGTAAAAGTATTTATGGCCAGACTAGTTATGTTTTTAACCTACTTCAATAAGAAGGAAGTTCTCAATTCGGTTGTATTTTTTAATGTTTGTTACCTCATAACTCCGTCTGTGTTAAATCGATTTGAACAATTCTTTTTCAAACTATTACTATACGTTGTTAGTATCATTATTATATAGGTTATACCCCATATTGTTGGTTATGGTGTCATTCATCATATCAGCTTTTATCTGTCCACTGCTGAACATAGGCTTCTCCCAAAAGTACTGTACTGAGCCACCTGCATCCTCACTCCTTGCAATGCATTGGAGATTGTCCTACACTGCCCGTACGGGGTCGTCACTCAAGAACCATTCTACCCCATCAGTTGTCGGTTCTTCGAGCTATCTGACCAGCACATTGTTACTTCAGCTTGTTTATATCTTCTTGAGGTCATTAGTTCTCGTTATTTACAGTCTCAGATGTTTGGGCCGTGATCGTGATCATCTAGAAGGGGATTGTTAATAAAAGAGGGAGACTTTGTACAAAAATCGATTGTTTGGGTACCTCTGTCCTATTCGTGTTTCAACCGTGAAGCAGTTGTGTTTGCATGGCTGTGTTTCGGTTTGAAGGGTGCGATATGGCGTGAATTTGCTGAGTACAGGGGAATAACATCTGAATCCTCAGGAATGGCAACGCATAGGGGGTATCATGGGCGAAACAGTATACTCTGTTATGTCCATGGTACTGCTCATGTTTATAGGCGACGGTTACCACTTTCCATCAGGTGGGCCGTCAGCTTGTTTGCCATTCTAAGTCGTTTAAAAAAAAAGATCTTTTTTTAAAATAAGAGTCCCTTCAGAATAATAGCCCATGATTGTACGTTATTTCACTAAACTGGGTGTTGTTTTGCGGAAGTCCATATCACTAGTTAGAGAATGTTTAATTTTCGGTTGTTGGCAGTTGCATGCATACTAATGATAGCGGAATAAAATAATTTTAATCGACTAACTAGTATATGTTTTTTTTTTTTTTTAATTTTTTCCAATTACACTTGACGTTAGGGTGGGCGTGTTGTGTAATATATGTTAATGTGCTTGATGTTGACAACAGTGAGTGCTGTGACCCATTGGCAAATTTATTTTGTTATTGTAAAATATGTTATATTACTTATCGTCTAAGGTCCAAATTGTTTACCGTGCCAGAGTGAAGTAGTTAGAAGTGACCTTCGCATGCTGTACGCGCCGGATTTATTTGCTTTCTAGATATATTACTTTTAAATAAATTCAGTACCCTTGTGTCTTTGGTAATTCATGTAATTTAAATAGTTAATAAAAATTTTTTTCTACATATATTCATAATAACTATAATAATATAGTTATTATGAATATATGTAGAAAAAATTTTTACATTTCTCCATTTGAATGTTGTCTGGAAAATAATGGAAGAAAAAATTGATGCTATAATTTTTTTCCATTGTGTTTGTGTTTTGAGTATCCGGATCCAGACAGTGCTGGAATTAAGGAATAGTAGAAAAATTACCAAAAAGTATATATCTTTAACGTAATTTATAATTGGTTTGCCATATTAGCTAAGTTCATACTTTTTTGAAAAGTGACCAACTTAAGAAGGTCGAAGAATGGCCGGCAGTGTCCCTCTTAAAACATCACCAAAGCCTAACTGAGGATAGCAATCAGTCTGCCAAGCATGGCAACTACTGGCAACCTCTTCCCCGCCAACTCCTATGGGGGAGACCTATGTTAAGCAGTGGACTATTAACGACTGATTTGAATGGAATGCTAACCCCAACTGCACGTGGGGGGAAAGGGATTGTTAGCAATGGAGTTTGATAGCCCTATTGCTAGCAATATACCCTGTCAGGTCGACCTCCACGTGATTTCCCCCGGAAACCATCGTGAACAATTCTTGTTGGATTCGTCACGATGGGCTAATTGACCTGCTTCATCCTCACCTATCATCCCTCACTGGTGCCCCGCCGGTGTACACCGATAGCGCCGATGGGGTTACCATTGCATTATTACCTATAAAAAAAAACCCAACTGCACTATCGGTTAACACTGGTGGGGGACCAGTAAGAGATTTATAGATAAAAATGAAAACAGATCAGTTAGCCCATTGTGACGACTTCAGCAAGAATTAACCACGATGGTTTCCATGGGGAACCATGAGGAGGACGACTAAATAGGGTATATCCATTACTAGTAAATTAAAAATCCCTTTCTGCCCGCTAGGTGTATTAGAATTTAACATGGCGTGACATGCCTACCATTATCACTGTCTACATTTTTTTTTCTAATTAAGTTACTAATTTATTAGTATCTGCCAGATTCAAACACAAGTGGTTAAAGCTCCAAATATATGGTAAGTCGCAGTAAACCAACACATTCTCAGCTCGATACATATTGTCGCCAACCGTCGTGAATACTACATAGTATTTAATACTTTCACATTTGTTTTATACTTCCTTTTCAATCTCCTTACAGCTTTTTCAATAAACCTTTCCATTTTATTATAAGTGGTTTTGGCTCGACAAGGTCCATAAGAATAACATATAAACTTTTTGGGTACTCGAATAAAGGGAGAGTACAATATGACCGATCAACTTTCGCTTATGTATGTGTAGGTATTATTTCAAACTATACATACTTCTTTTACTCAATAAGAAGTATGTATAGATTTATATACGCTTACATAAGGAGATGATTTTTTATCTGTCTGTATATTTTTGTGTGTATCTTACGAGATACATTCGTCAATTCTGAAATGATTTCTTTTATATTACTTTGATAGTTTTTTATGTCAAATAATTTTAGATTTTATTTTTCAATTGATAAGGTTTACTCTCGTATCTTGGCTGTGTGCTTCCGGTATAGAATGGGCCATCCATTCTTTCTTTTTTTTTGTAGAACACATTTTTTTTAATAAATTATAAAGACTACGTTATTATTGTGTATTCAGGAATCAAGAACTGGTGGAGCTCATGTCGTCCGCAGTTCGGGACCTAGCCGAGGCCGAGTTTCTGGGGGAACGCGACGACCAGAACAACCCACTTCCGTCACGCCCCCTGTCAGAGGAACAGATTGACCCTGCTGCAGGTACAAGAAGTTTTAATATTGTAAATGCAATTGATATTTTTTCTAAAGAATTTAATAGATAGATAGATAATTTATTTGCATTACTTACAGCACACAAATCACAACAGACATAGATATATACAAAAAGCGATATAAAAGAAATATAAAAAAAAAAATACATAAAAGGGAAACAATTTTTGCTTTTCATAACTACACAAAATAGTCACAACTCATTTTATTGCTTTGCCCTCAAAAGAGCAAAATACTGATATTATGTTGTGGCCAAAGGGAATAAAATAATGTCAGCAGATTATCTATACAATAAACAATAATTAATTTACAGCGTACAGAGGAATAACACCTAAATCCTCAGAAATGGCAACGCATGGATCATGGTCGTAACAGTGTACTCTGTTATATCCATGGTAGTGCTCATGTCTATAGGCGACGGTTACCACTTTCCATCAGGTGGGACGTCAGCATGTTTGTCGTTCTAAGGTGCATAAAAAAACATATTAATACGACGGTTTATCTAGCAGGTAAATGGAACAAAAAAGTAACTTGATGTAATATTTAATTTATTGACTAAGTTTATATAAAACAAAATTGTTATGTTTTAATATATATTATGTTGAAATTGCATGATTTAAAACATAGTCTCCCTAATTGCTTGATCCTTAAGATATCCTGTGTTATAAGGAACCGGGTAATGGATATTTTGGGGCATGACCCACAACACTTGGATCCAAGCCAATAAAAAAATGTTTGTTTTTGAAATTAACCCAGCCGAGAATCGAAATTGGGACCTCATTTACGAAAAGTGATGTACTCAACCACTGCGCCACGAAGATAATGTATATGAAATAAAGTAATGAAAGCAAAATATAATATGACGTTCCAATACAGTACGCAACTTGTTGGATAACATTTCAGTGCAATAGAAAGCAACTTTTTATATAATCATTCAGAAACTGATACGTAATTAACTCTATATCGCGGCTTCGTCTATGATCGTATCATAATGTTGAATAGTTTATAACCTTTTTCTAGTAATGAGCAATCAAATTAAAAAAAAAAAACAATTTTTCAAATCCGACTGGTAGTTTCATACATTAGCGCGTTCAATATAAATAATGCGAAGTGTCCCTCTTAAAACATCTGCAAAACCTAACTGCGTTTACCAATCCGCCTGCCAAACGTGGCAACTACAGCCAAAACCCCTTTCTTTCTGCGGCTTTACATTTTTTAATTGCATAGACAAAGCAAATAACTTTTGTCTATGTGGTTTTCTTGGACAAACAATTCTATAAACTTTTGAATACGGCTATTTTAAAAGAAGAAATAAGTTCCGCTTCGTTCTATGTTTGTATAAGACTTAGCATGCGTTATGCATACATCCGTACCGTCTTGTAATATATTTACTAAGCAAATGTTGATGAATTCAATTTTAAATATTGTACACCGTATTGGTGACTGTGATGGTACAGGTATGTGGTGATTAAGTAGAACAAGAAAGTATGTTAAAAACTAACTTTTATCCGCGACTTCGTCTGCATGACCTGTACATTTTACTAACTGGGATAAAAAGAAGCTTATTTTTTTATACTACTTAGAATGGCAAACAAGCTGACAGCTCACTTGATGGAAAGTGGTAACCGTCGCCTATAGACATGAGCAGTACCATGGACATAACAGAGTATACTGTTTCACACATGATACCCCCCATGCGTTGCCATTCCTGAGGACTCAGGTGTTATTGGTCGGTACCCTGTAAATTCACGCTATATCCCACCCTTCAAACCGATATTATTATTATATTTATTTATTTTATTTACATTTTACAAAGCCCTGTGGTTCCGGCATAGAATGATCGAGGGATGGGCAGCAGCGTCCCTCTTAAAACATCATTAATGCCTAACTGCGGTTACCAACCAGTTTGCCAAACAACATTATTGGTATAGTTTTACCGAAAATGTTTAAAAAAAAAACAATTTTTCAAATCCGACAGGTAGTTTCATACATTATATCGCGTTCAATATAAATGCGAAGCGTCCCTCTTAAAACATCTCCAAAGCCAAACTGCAGTTGCCAATCCGCCTACCAAGCGTGGGAACTACTGGCAAAATCCTCCCCATGATAAACTGCAATAAGGAACGGCCTTGTTTCTCATGGCAGTCTATAGCCCTTTCAGACCTGAACGATACGGGCGTGAGTTGTAACTTTAAAAAATTCTAAAACCGCGCGCAATTCATTTTTACTCACGAAGCTGAAATAACATGATAGTGAGATTCTAAACTAGCCAATAAGAAATCATTCTAGCGGTTAGGTGGTGCAGTAGTCTCGTGCGTGCCGGCAAGATGGCTTGGCTCCAAAACACGAAAATATATTTAATCCGAAAGAAAAAAAATCTTGGGCCTGAAAGGGATATGGGAAGCCCGTGTTCAGCAGTGAACAAATAACAGCTGATATGGTGATGATGATGAAGATATTTAACAAAGACAAACCCATGACGTATTTATGTATAATTTTGGTCTCGTTACGGTTTTATTATTATGTAGAGAAGACAGTAAGGACGTGAAGTACAACAGCCGTATGTCATAATCATTGTATGTTAATGGCCGTCCCGACATCATGTTTGAAACAATGAAACCTATGTCAAAATTGTATGAGTACATTGCTAATGATATCATTCATTAGGTATACAGTATTTTAAATATAATATAAATTTTACCTTAATAGTCGGATTTGTAGTTTGGTAATACTATTATAGAAAAACAAAATTCGAAATATTATTGTTTTTTGTCTATGGTATAGTTATTTTTTTGACCAGTTTTGCGTCAGTTGTTGGCAAATTTTATTTTTATATTTGTATTTTTTTTTTTATTTCTGCGCATGCAGCAATAATTTTAAAGAAATTTGTTAACTTTTTGATATACATGGTTTTTATTCCATTAGTTTTAATGTAGTAGAAAGTTAAATAAAGGGTAATAAACATACGAACACAAATCCTCTATCAGATATATAACCTTCTTATTTATAATATTAATTTTACATAAATATACAATTATGGGCTATAAAATTTACAAAGTTTATATTTATAAAATGTAACATTATATCCAGCACAGTAGTATCTAAACTACGCCTAATCTATATCTTAGATACAAATGCCTACAATAAGATTTACGAGCAGTTTTAATACTATCTAATTTAAAATATACTATAGAAGCTAATGTTGAAAGGACGAGTTAATGTTGCGTTTTTTTTTAGTGGGTGATAATGTAATGGTAAATCCACCCGCGCTGTCGATATACACTGGCGGGGCACCAGTGAAGGATGATAGGTGAGGATAAAGTAGGGTCAGTTAGCCCATCGTGACGAATTCAACAAGAATTGTTCACGATAGTTTCCAGGAGGAACCACGCGGAGGTCGACCTAATAGAGCATATTGCTAGCAATGGGGCTGTCAAACTCCGTTGCTAACAATCCCTTTCCTACCGTTAATGTTGCGTTGTTGTGCGAGGTAATGGTAATCTAAGCGTTGTGAATTATTATAGTAAAGATTTATTCATTATTTTGTTCAATTCTAAGTACTTATCAAATGTTCTCAAAAGAACGAAGCACCAACTGAGCATTTTTTTTAACTAAAGTTGACAATCTCTTATTTATTTATTCTTTTGCATACAACGAAACATGACTGATAGCATACTCTACTATTTAGTTAATCCTAGTTATATTTTTATCTAAGGAAAATTAATATTACAGTGATGGACAGCAGCGTCCCTATTAAAATATCACTTATTATTGCAGTTGCCAATCCATCTACCAAACATGGCAACTACTGGCAAAACCCCCCTTTAGAGCGAGTTCTATGTTCAGCAGTGGACAGTAAATGTCTGATATTATATATATGTATATATAATAATAACTGCTAATATATTTATATATAATATATGTAATAGGTAGGTATACTTTTATTCCATTCGAAAGGAAACTAAGTATAGAAACAAGTTTTTAAAGTTTATATTAAAATAACATTATAGTTAAATATGACAATTTAAAACTTGGCGTCCTTGGCAGTGTTGTATTTGACAAAACTCGCCTTCGGATCATCTTTATATTCATGAGTTCATTTTTTGTATTAGTACTGTCTTTTCCATGTATACTTGTGTATGGGTATATATATCTATCAGTGGCCTAGTATTTATCTAGTTCGAAATTAAGTTGAGCTCGTGCTATATAGCTTAATTTAGGACTTAAAAGCGTTGTGTAAAAAAAGCTTTTTTAATTTTTTTTAACTGGAAAGTTCTCTATTCCAATGGCACTGAAAATACAAATTAATCTATTAATATTTTTTAACGACTAACGGAGGGCAAAGGATAGGCAGCAAGGTCCTTCTTAAAATATATCTAAAGTCTCACTGCGGTTGTCAATCCACCTGCCAAGCGTGGCGACTACGGGCAAAATTCTCCAAGATCCTTATGTTTATCAGTGGACAGTGAAAGGTTGATATGATGATGATGAATGTATTAATAATTATATTGTGGATCCATTATAACTTGAATAAGAGATTTATATTATATCATACTAACTTTTACCTGCGACTTTACGCGATAAAAAGTAGCCGATACACTTCACTATCCCAAATACTTCGTGTATACTAAACTTCATTGAGCAGTTAAACCACCAAAAGGCATCAAACAAAGATAGATAGATAGATAGATACTCTTTATTGTTTCCTCCAAAAGATTACAATAGTAAACTTATTATAAATATAAACAATTACATTACAAAGAGACACTCACATTTATATCTGTAAGAATTACCACCAATGGCACAGAAATAAAAATCGCCACTCCTGCTTTCCCTTCTCAATGTAAATATGCCACAGTCTACTGACATGGTAATGTAACGAGGTGCCTATTAAAATTCACAGCCGTCTACCAAAGTAAGGTACCAGACGCGTCTTGAATGCAAGCATTCTTTTCGTGATGCGAATGGAAAATAAAATACTTGTGTTGCGTTCCGATTCTGTCCTTCCTTAATAATGAGGAAGTGACCGTACGAATGGCTCGTACACTCGCCTGACGCAGAGATTACGAAAATTTAAAATAGCTAATAACTCGTTTGAAATGACGTCGAGAAGGAAGAGGTTCTTTATTCGGTATTTTTTTTTTTATGTTTGTCACGCGATGTATTTGCTAATTCGGCACTGATTTTGATACTTTTTAAGGAACAGTGTTCGCTTCCGTATCGGTGATATATAAATCAAAAACATCTATTTTGATTGTGATAACATATCATGATTTCAGCCATTATCCGTCCACTGCTGACTATGTTCAGCCTCTCCTCTAGACTACCATAAAGTTTAAGTACCATAAATCTTGAGTCACCTGCATTCACATAACATATTATTATAATTAATGTTCTATGGTACAATATTTAAAATTATTATATTTATCTATACTTATAATAAATCTGTAGAGAGGTCAAGACTGTACATGAAATATATTTCCTAAATAAACTATCGGGGGGTGATTAGTGATCGATACTGATGCCAAAAATGCAATCAGTAAAATTTTTGTCTGTCTATCTGTCTGTATGTTCGTTATAGAAAAAAAATTACTCGACGGATTTTAACGAAACTTGGTACAATTATTCTTCATACTCCTGGGCAGGTTATAATTTATTTTTCATCACGCTACGATCAATAGGAGCAGAGCAGTGAAGGGAAATGTTGGGAAAACGGGAGAAGTTACTCCATTTTTAAGCTGCCGTCGCGTATGCAGCCTTAATGGCCACTTTTTAAAATGTAAAAATGTCCACCTGTACGAAGCCGGGACGGGCCGCTAGTTGTCAATAAAACCAATGCGCGACCTGTTAGAGTGCACATGCAAACACATTGAGAACAAATAATTTATCGAAGATTTTTTAAAATTATTTTATTATATCAGCCATTAACTGACCACTATTGAACGTAAGGGTACCCTTATTGGGGTATTTTGTCAGTCGAAGCCAGGCTTGGTAGATGGGGTGGCAACCGCAGTTAGGCTTTGGTGTTGTTTTTTTTATGCAACTTAGAGTGGCAAACAAGCTGACGGCCCACTTGATGGAAAGTGGTAACCGTCACTAATATACATGAGCAGTACCATAGACATAATATTGTTTCGCTCATGATACCCCCCATGCGTTGCCATTCCTGAGGACTCAGGTGTTATTCCTCTGTACCTGGTAAATTCACTGCCATATCCCACCCTTCAAATCGAAACATAGCCATGCAAACACAACTGCTTCACATGAAACATGAATGGGACAGATGTAATCAAGCAAACGACTTTTGTACAAAATCTCCCTCTGGTTGTTTTAAGAGGGATGCTCTTAAAATAACAACAAAGACTAACTGCGGTTGCCAACTGCCCATTCCTCGACTGTTAAATTCTCTTAGTTGCCTTTTATAACACCCATGGGAAAGGGTTGGCCCATTCTATGCTTGAATCATACAATAGGGATAGGGATTTAAAGGGAGATTGTTCAATTTGTATAGATAAATGAGTTTCTTACTTGTTGTTTCTGCCACCAAGCAAAAGTACAAAAGTCGATTGTATATTGTATATTGCTAGCAATGGGACGCTTAACTAATAATCCTGTCTCCCCTCCTTATAAATTATTATTGTGTATTTCAGAATGGGACTGCATCGTGGAACCACTCCCAATGTCTGGCGTGATGGGTAATCTACCACGGGAGTGGGCGGCGCGGCACGTGCTGGCGGCCGGCGCACTGCTAGGCAAAAGCTGTTCTGCGGCGCTCAAACTAGCTGGCCATGGTCCTGCGTTGCAGACACAGGTGAGATCGTTGATAGACAACTCTGAAACCTTCTGTCTTTGATCTTATAATTCGAGATTCTCTTCCCAAATAAACGTTGGATTTGAACACATAATAGTTTAAATATAATAAGTTGTTTAGTATATATACAATATAGTAAGATTGTCAATTGCAAAGAGAGAGAGAGAGACTCACATGAAACATTATATAATTAGATTAACCCTGTTCGCCGCACCATAACTGTAAAATTACTTGCTTTGACTTCCACGAGACAGGCTTTGCCTAGTGTGGAGTCATAGCTATATTGTACCATAGCCTAATTTTGTTAAAGGAAATAAAGATATTCTAAAAAAAACATCTTTGCAACGAAATTCCATCAAGTATCTATAGTTACACTTCACACAATTTCAACCAAATTTACACAATTAATCTTCGGTAGAATTTTGTAATTTTTACCTATTTTCCAATCGACGGAAGAGGTGTTTTTACTTTACTTTGGTACTTTTGCCAGTGTATAACAATAGCGTAGGCGGGTTTACCATTTCTTTATTACCCATTACAAATCCTTTAAATAAATAAGAGGGGAGGTGAAGGGATTGTGGAATCTTGTGGAATTCGTCACGATCGTTTAATTGGGCTGCTTTAATCATCACCTAGTCCCCCGTCTCTCACTAGTGCCCCGTCAGTATAAACTGATAGTACAGGTGAGGTTACTATTTCGTTTTCGTCCATAAAAAAAAAAAAAAAAAACTTTAATTAGGGTCCCACTCACTTCTTCACTTTCCAATAAAACCGCCTTACTGTACATATACAATTGTATCGTTATGTTTGTAAATTGCCTTGCTTATTTCCTATATTGTATAATGCAAATAAAGTATACTCATTCATTCATTCATTCATTCTTTACATAAATTACACTTACAATTACAAACTTACAACAAGAGTTAATTTTTATAAATAAATTACTACAGTAGTAGAAATCCGTTTTTATTATTAAAGCGTTAATTTCTTTGAAATTAAGAATTTATTGTAAAAGAAAAAGACACTTTGATTGTTGAAGTAGTTTTATTAGTGGTTTATCGATTTCGTGCATAAGGCGGTAAAATTTGCACAGCAATGTTTTTCAATTTTTAAGGTATTTGTTTAGTAAGAAGATTATTAGATTCCTCATCATCAGCTGTGAACTGTCCACTGCTGAACATAAGTCTCCTTTGGGGAGTTTCGCCAGTAGTTGCCATGCTTGGCATGCGAATTGGCAATCGCAGTTAGGCTTTAAAGATGTTTTAAGAGGGACACTGCTGCCTATTTCTCGTGCTTTATTAGACTATTTTTTTTAAATGGATGATAATGGAACCCCACCCGCGCTATCGGTATACACTGACGGGGCACCAGTGAAGAATGATAGGCGAGGATGAAGTAGGTCAGTCAGCCCATCGTGACGAATTCAACAAGAATTGTTCATGTTTGATGAACAATTCTTGGTTTCCAGGAGGAACCACGTGGAGGTCGACCCAATAAGGTATATTGCTAGCAATAGGACTGTCAAACTCCATTGCTAACAACCCTTTCCCCCCCAGTATTAGCCTATTTACTATTGTTATTCGTTTTCCATCGCAGGGCTACCTGTTCGGGTGCCACCTGGCGCTGGCGTGGCAGGCGTTTCTGGACCTAGAGTCGTTCACGGGTCCAGAGCCGGCCAGCTTCTCGTTGGTAGGCGCTCCGCTCGCCTTCACGCTGGAGGCGCGGCCCGACCTCTACTGCTACATCGAGGCCGGCCGCAGGAGCGTGCACGACGTCGACTATCACGCAGTAAGTTGATACATTTTTACTAAATTAAAAAGAAGTATTCTATTTAATTTAGTAAAAATGAGCGAGAATGAATGGAGATGTCGCTAGGGGCCGCCCTAGACGAACGTATGTTGACCAAATAGGCGACGTGCTGAAGAAGGGCCAAATTAAAAGTGCCCGTAACTGGCGAGCGTGTATGAAAAGATTGGAATGGGGAGGAAGCGAAGGAGGTTTGTTTGAATCGAAGCATTTGGCATTCCATTGTTTCTGCCTACCCTAATGGGAGACAGGCGTGACGGATATGTATGTATGTATTGTATTGTATTGTAAAATCTTTATTGTATATAATTCAAATCAAGCACTGATAAATGATTTAATATACAATGGCGGACTTATACCATAAAGGGATCTCTTACAGTCAACCTTTGAGAAGCTGAAAGAAAACTATAGAATGTATAAGGGTAATAACCGTACAATTAAAGATAAACTAAATAATACCCAGTAAAAACTTGAATATATAATACAATTAAAACAGCTCTATACACCTACATATGTAAATAATAAAAGTAAATGAATAATAATATAACATTAATACATAAATAAATAAAAACTTACATATAGTATATTTTCATTGTATGATTACTTATTACCAATATCATTATAATCATCATTATTTTGATATTACTATAAGCCGCTAATTGTAATTTTTTTTTGATGAGTGAAAATGGTATGGTAACCCCGCCTGCGCTAACGGAATACGCTGACGGAGCACCAGTGAAGGGTGATAGATGAGAATGAAAACAGGCCAGTTAGCCTATCATGATGAATTCATCAGGAGTTAACCATGATAGTTTCCAGGGGGAACCGCGAGGAGGTCGACCTGGTTGGGTATATTGCTAGCAATGGGATTCTTAGTCTCCATTACTAACAATCACTTTCCCATCGCTAATTGTGCATTGTTTGACCATAAGTTTTTTTCGTAAGTGTGGTTTTGCCAGTAGTTGCCAAGCTTGACAAGCGGGTTAGTTAATTAACTAGAGGTAAATTAAATTTGCAAAGTATTTTAGACGATACCACATGCCATTAATGGAGTAATTGGAAAACGCTATACACAAATACATGGACAATTTGTTTAGATGGTAGGTACACAATAACAACCATTAAAAAGCATTCATGGGGAAAATTCCGATGTAAATTGATATATGTATATAAACCATTATGAAAATTATGTAAACACCTATAATTCAGAAGTGAATACATGGACAAACTCTCGACTGATGAGTGTGTAATCGATTAACAATATTTGGCAGAGACTGAATTAGAAATATACAAAACACAGAAACCCTAAAAATCCTAACAAATAAGGGAGGAATGAGTGTTTGATAATGGAATGGTAACTCCGTTGCGCTATTGGTATACGGCGCGTGTGCGTGTGCGTGTGTGTGTGCGTGTGCGTGTGCGTGTGCGTGTGCGTGTGCGTGTGCGTGTGCGTGTGCGTGCGTGTGTGTGTGTGTGTGTGTGTGTGTGTGTGTGTGTGTGTGTATGTGTGTGTGTGTGTGTGTGTGTGTATATATATATATATATAAAATAGTGAGTAGGGATATATTTACATTATTACATGTATTATATCTCCATATTTAGAAATAATAGGATCTTCATCGTGCCTCCAATCAAATTGTTTATAATAGAAGAGATCGCTTTTAGCGATAAGGTCGCCCATTGTTTTCTCCTTGTAATAATTTTTTTTACCACTGATGTGGCAAACAAGCATACGGCCCACCTGATGGTAAGCGGTTACCGTAGCCTATGAACGCCTGCAATACCAGAGGTATTACGCGCGCGTTGCCGACCCTGAAGAAACCTCTTTACCCCCTTTTGAAGAACCCCATGCTGTAGTCTCTTGGGAAAACCACGGCAGGGAGCTCATTCCATAACCTGAGTGTTCGTGGGAGAAAGCATCTCTGAAACCGCGTTGTACGCGACCATTTAGGCTGTAAGGTATGAGGGTGAACTCCCTGTCGATGGCGAGCCGTACGATGATAGAAAGTGGCCGTAGGCATCATATTGAATAATTCCTCTGAGCACAGTCCGTTGTATAAGCGGTAGAACACGTAGAGTGAGGCAAAATCTCTCCTAAGACTTAAGGATTCGATACCGCTTGCAAGCCTGGGATCATCGACAATTCTCATAGCTCGTCGTTGCACTGAGTCGAAGGGTTCAAGCTGGTATCTAGGTGCTCCCGCCCATAAGTGACAGCAATACTCCATATGGGGCTGGATTTGCGATTTGTAAAGCATTAATCGCTGATCCGGCGTGAAGTAATGCTTCGCTCTATTAAGCACACCGAGTTTTTTGGATGCCAGCTTCACCTTATCTTCGAGGTGGCCACGGAACTGTACGTCACTAGAGATGTCGACACCAAGGATCCCAATGCTTTTAGAGATGTTAAGAGACGTGCCTTGGAACTGTGGGGCCACAGCAAATCGGGTTTTCTTAGCGGTGAACGCGCAAGCTTGTAATTATTTATATCTAGAAACTAGAAAAGATTATATCTAGAATAAGTTTATTATTGTAATCTTTTGGGAGAAACAATAAAGAGTATCTATCTATCGATCTATGATAAATTATAAAAATATGTTATTGATGTCAGCTGTACGAGGCGGTGGTGTCGGGCGATGGCATCGCCAAGACTGTGGAGCTGCAGCGCGAGCAGGCGCGGCGGGCGCGGGCAGCTTTAGGCCACTTCCGCTGCGGCGACGCGCGCTCCGCCCTCGCCAACATCCTGTCCGCGCTGCACCACGCCCTCGACTAGAAGGTGACAACAATAAGGCTAGCACAATCAGTCCCATGTTCAATCGTCGATCACGCATACACCACCCATACACTACAGCCATAAGAACATGCCTAGCGTCACGTTAGGATAAAGACATTGCAGAGTACTGTTTTCATATCATACTTTTTAGTGATTCTGTTAATATTAAAAATCATATATTTGGGTTTATTGGTAGAGAACTCTTTTAGAGTTAAACTCGCCTTTGTATATTTATTTACCTCTGTCATATTTTTTATATACTATCAGTGTGTATAATAATGTATGAAAAAAAATGTATCATCTGTGTACAATTTTAATGTGTACAAAAGATTAAATAAATACGCTATGTCCATCCTGCATGATTAAAGGGAGATCATTAATATATGCTAAAAGTAATGGACCAAGAATGCTCCCTTGAGGTACACCCATTCAAACGAGAGACCCGTTAAATCTATGTATTTTAATTTTTTGAATTCGATCAGTTAACGACCCACCTGATGGATGGAAAGTGGTAACCGTCGCCTATAGACATAAGCAGTACCATGTACATAACAGTGTATACTGTTTCGCTCATGATACCCCCTATGCATTGTCATTCTTGAGGACTTAGGTGTTATTCCTCTGTATCTTGTAAATTCACTGCTATATCCCATTCTACAAATTGAAACAATGCAACAAAAATGCAAACACAACTGTTTCACGGTAGAAACACGAATAGAACAGAGGTGTCCAAGCAAACGACTTTTGTACAAAGTTTCCCTCCTTTTAGTCGTGCATTCTTGACAGAGTGATTGTAGTTTCCATAACGACAGAGTTGAATTGTCACTCTCTCTGGTTGAGGTCCTTACAATATCTCTTCCTCTACTTCTGTTCTTTTCTATATGTACTTATATAGTTTCTATTTTTAATTATTATTAAATTAATATCTTTTTAATATAAATATTATAAAATTATTATAATTTTAGCAAATTTGTTGCTCGAAGGATAAGTTATGTTTTTTTTTTTATAATTAATACGAGTACATTCCATTAAATAAAAATAGTTCCCATGTACATGAAATTATTATGTTGAATATTTTAATAGATATATAATAATAAATTTTTTATTATTATATATTGTTTATAGAATATGTTTAAATAAAAAAATACAATGTATTATTGTTATATATATATATATATATATATATATATATATATATATTACATATACTGATTATTCCGGAGTCTGGTAATGAAAAAATGAATATTTTTTGAAGTTTGTATGCAAATTTCAATGGCAAGCAGAAGGCCTACTTATATAATTTTGAAGTAATGTTTGCTACTTAATATTAAGTATTTTGCTCAATTTTATATTTAAATATTTTGTTACTTTTCATGTTTGAATGTATAGTCTTGTAATGAGAGTACAATGCTATAAAAATAAGTATAGGAATGACATCTTGTTGTAGTCATCGCGTCTTAGCTTTCAAAGTTAAACCGAGTAGGGTAAGCAATATAATTATTTTTGAAAAATAAATAGAAATATGCTTACAACGGTTTCTTTCTAATGGGAGTTGCAAATAAAATATTATTGTATTATAATTTCTGCCAATTTACATAGTGTCGTTTGCGATTCTAAAAAGAATGAATGACACTCTTGTTTTATTGAAAGAAAGTTGAGAAAAATACAATTTATATAAATTACATAAAATATGTAGACGAAAAATTTACATTACAAAAGCAAGGTAAAGCGCCAACAACGAACGACCTCATTATTAAATAGTAACTCTTCCGCGAAATCTTAGGATGGACGTCATGCCTTTGTCCATTTTTAGGTCGCGACCTTAAAATTACTAAAAATGACGTTATATTAGTGACGTAAATGTCACCGTGCTATTGAATAAGAGCTTATAACCATTTCGGGTTTAATCATCCTTGCATATCGTACCTTTGAAGTGAGGTGATTAACATTCCTATTCTTATTTTGATGGCATATCAAATTTATTTACCCTAATCTACTGGAGAAAATGTGTTTGTTTAATTTTGTTTATATTTGTTTAATTTAGTATTGTCCAATTTTGTGATTCGTTTACTTGTATTTTATTTTGTGCAAATTCTAGTGGCTACCAAATTACTATTTAAGTGTATAATTATGTATTATTTTAGCTGTTTGTTTGCCTTAAATAAATAAATAAATAAACAAAAAAAGATGATTTTTAAACAATACTATACATTAATTGTGTAGTTAATGATATGATATAGGCCGTTAACTATCCACTACTGAATTAAGGCCTCCCCTTTTGGGGGTTTTGCTAATATTATACTTATGTTCGTTATATTCAAACACTACATACTAACTTTAGGAATTGAAAAATGTACTTAATTTAAAGAATAAAAAGAAATATTTTTTAGAAAAAAATATAGGTACCTAAGTGCCCGTTTATCTGTAAGATTAATAAACTCGAAATATTAGTATTTTATACTTTTGTATATGAAACATTTATATCGTCCAAGTACTTATGTAACGTTGTGATGGATTTTGTAATATTTATACAAACATGTTAATTTTTATTAGAAAAGGCTTAGGCATATATATCGACGTACAACGTAGTAATTAAAAAAAAATTGAATAACAAACAGGAAAATAGATAAGATTTAATTTGTTATGTATAAGCTATTTTTTTTATTGAATATACAATTTTTCCAAAAATGTGTATTCATATTTTTCTTAGAGAATCGATTGCAAAATAATATGTTTGCATCCCAGATCATGATCACCTGGACTGCATTTACTGTGGTGTCAAGTCTTGTAGAGAACAGTCAAGAGGGCAAGCCGGACAGGATAATAGTTGGGTCATGGTTTGTGTTTCATCGCAGACACAGTTCAAGTACGGTTCCACGGAGAATCACCACCTGTGCATTTGCTTGCCGCGGGGTGGGAGGGAGAGGAAGGGATTGTTAGTAATGTTTTTTTTTTTTTATACAACTTATAATGGCAAACAAGCTGACGGTCCATCTGATGGAAAGTGGTAACCGTCGCCTATAGACATGAGCAGTACCATGGACATAACAGAGTATACTGTTTCGTCCATGATATCCCCATGCGTTGCCATTCCTGAGGACTCAGGTGTTATTCCTCTGTACCCTGTAAATTCACGCCATATCCCACCCTTCAAACCGAAACACAGCCATGCAAACACAGCTGCTTCACGGTTGAAACACGAATGGGACAGAGGTACCCAAGCAATCCACTTTTGTACAAAGTTTCCCTCTGACTATCAGTCCCATTGCTAGCAATATACACTGGCAGGTTGACCTTGTGGTCCCGCTGTAAACCATCGTGCTGAATTCCAGATGTATTCATCACGATGGGCTAACTGGCCTGCTTTTTCATTCTAATCTGTCATCACTCACTGGTGCTCCGCCAGTGCATACTGTTAATGCGGGCGGGGTTACCATTACATTAATGTTCATTAAAAAAAAAACTTGCTGCAGGTAATTCCTAAACTGGCCATGGCAATTTGGTATGAGCAGAGCGTTTCTAGACAGGCACGTGTATTCGTATGTGTGTGTGTGTGTTTAATTAAGTATACAAAAATGATATTTGTAGTGGTTTGTGAGAAAAAAATGCGATGAAAGATAAATATCTATGGAAGTCCTTTGAGAAAATTAATCGTTGCTGTATGGTTTGGTCGTAGTAATATAAATGCTTGGGTTGGGAGTCATTCCAACTTCCAATATGTCATGTAAAAACGTAAGTACATACATAATTATGTAATACTTAAGAACAAAAATATTAACTTTTAACCCTTAAATACCTGAAGTTTCAAATTTGATACCGGGGTTATAAATCGCATTGGGCGCCTACATTCGATTTTATTTTAATATTTGGCTGTTTACATGTTACCAAATGTTTTTTTTTTCAAAATAAATATATAAAAAAATCGTTTTGATTTTTTACTATTTTTCCCCATTAGTAAAGACAGTAAAGGGTACACTTATATATTTTTTAATTTGATTTAAAAAATCAGGTTTTTAAGGGTTAAAACAAAAGAATATTAACATGAATGTTACAGTATTAACATTGAGTGACGTAATGTAGTGTAAATATAGCAATAATATGTACTATTTGCCAATGAGATATTTACTTACGAGTATTGTTGACCCTTGTGGGATCAGGATCGTTATATTATCTGCTAACGATTACAATTCAAGACTTAATACGACTCGTTTTCATTTATTTCACTCATTGATTTAAGTTCAGTGTATTTTTGTGTCCAAATTGTATCTTATTTTCAATTGGTTTTGAAAATAATTGTTTATTGTGTCTGTCACAATTGAATTTGTTTATTTTTTATGAGACAATGCCTATCTATTATCTCTCAAAGTCCCTTGCGAGATAGTCAGAGAGAACCTAGTGTAAAGCCCTTGGAACAAAATTGTAGCGGTGACTACGAGTAGCTTCCCGATTTAAAAATTCTTATTAAAAAGAATAACTAAAAAAACTGTAAATTTCATGCTCAGAATGAGGTTAGGAAATAAAACATGAGATATTGTTTTAAATTATTGTATTAATAAATAATGGTAGTTCTATTTACATGACACATTCGATTACTCTTTTGTTTTGGCAGAAGACAATGAAAATATTGTTACACAATAGGTTCGCCGTAACTTAAACGCGACGAACATGAGGTCCGTGCTTATATGTAAAAAAAAAAATCACATTGGTAATACCCACTTTCCATACAAATAGGCGACGTAACTAAACGTATCTCAATTATTTTTGGTTACAACATATTGACAATACTGGTCGTTTTTGGTTTGAAGGCTACGCTACTGCAACAATCCCCACATGACGAAGACAGGCAAACATACAAGCAGACAAGCACTCGTGAGTTAATGGTTATATCACAGGTTTCTATGTGACCCTAAACGATACAATTCCCTTACAAAAGACCAATGCCTATGTTCCACTATAAAATTATTACATTACAATTTTATTGGTGTTAAAAATTTTCATCTTTAAAATGTATATAACAAAAATGAATTCAATAATTTGATGCTGACATCTGTCGGTCGTGTTTATTCACAATAGTTATGATTTTGATTTATTCACAATACGATTTTTAATATTACGATTGCCTTTGATATGTCTAGTCACACAATGCATCGATGAAGTATCAATCCACAATTAAATTGGCAGCTAGTGTAATGGCAAGAACGTTAAGGGCATTATTACCAATGTAGGTACATAAATAATATCCAAATACAATTTAGGCAAATTTCGTTAGATTCCAAACATGAAGCAATTGCATAAGATCGACGACGTATCGCACCATTCGTTAATTATAGTTTTCACTCCTACATTACAATGTACATAGACCCCGATGTCTATTATTGCTTAGTTTTTATAAGTTTTGTTCTCAAAACTTGCATTTACTTATAAATAATTTCACGTTCGTCCCAATAAATTTACCATTCAATAAATAGGTACACGTAAAAAATATAAACTATATCAATAGTTTAATCTTTAAAACAAACTTTTTCTCCTTATCCTAATTATATATTAATAACTATTCATCAGTATGTTTTCATTCATTTTCAATAATATGCCTACTTTATAATCTTTCCAAGCGCCTGAAAAAATTATTTTTCTCTTGCACGTTATTATATTCTTATAAATGTACTTTAATCGTCTTTTTATTATATGCATCTAATATAGAAAACATATTAACGCTGCCAAATTAGGAGATAAACTTGTTGGCTTTAAAAAGTAAGCTCATATATTTATTGGAAATGGTTAAACAAGATTCAAAATATAATATCAATAAAGATTTACGTTACGGCCAAACATACAGGCACTCGAGTTGAAAGTAAAGGAGGCTCTCTTGAAACATGCATAAAACAACTGCAATAATTTAATGTCGAGTCATAAAGCAAATATATTAAATATTAATGTCTACAGTAACACTAAATTATTACAAAGAAAATGATTCGATAATGGTTCACGTAATACAATATAAATAAGTTAAATATTCTAGAAAGTTAAAAATACACACATCTTAACCTAATAGAAAAGCACTCGTTTGTGGTAAATACATGTCGCGTTACCGCCATGATTTATTTCAACTAACGCAAATAATACGCTAAAACAAATATCGAAACACAGAGGAATGGTAATTAATAATACAATAAAATAAAAAAAACTAATACACAGACAAAGGTACAAAAATATCAATAAACACGATTGCCGAATGTGTCCGCCACTCCTCAGCTAAGCTTTTGTTGTGATGTTTTGTACTTTTGTTCTGAATACGGTTACATAATATGTAGGGTTAGTAGTTTATGAGATCAATGCATCGCACAACAATTTCATTATGCGCTTAATTAGAGAACATCGACAAAATATGCAGATAAGACGTACTTAAAGTCACTATTTTATACAGTATACAGAATGTAAAATTAATTAAACTAAATCCCCAAAAGGTTGTCAAGGCAACGCTTGTAATAACTAAAATTACGTCAAGAATATACAAAAAAAAATTCTACACAATTACGGTCACTTCGACAATACACAATCGATACTAACGCAATAACGTAAGACTAGCTGAAATGCGATAAACACTATAAAACTTAAAGTTACAATCTTTGATTAAAAACTCACTCGGTATACTTTAAAAATACTACGTTAAAACGGTAGTCAATTCCAATGTAAATGCATAAAGGAATCTCATGAGAAATTTATCGCACATTGGACTGTTCCGCTCCGACGATTATTCGAATCTTAATTTTACGAATCCAGGAACTACAGAACATTTGGAAAGCACATGGCTCTAATCGACGATTAGAAATTCTACAAATCGAAAGGCAACATAGACCTTACATAACTACGGAAGGGACTTCGAGTCCATTGGATCGAAGTCGGCATCAGGCGAGCACGACGTTGCCACCGAGCTAGCGTCAGGCGGTAGTGGCAGAGGCGCTGGGCTGACGTCAGGCGGACGTCGCTGTAGCGGTAGATTGACGTCAGGTAGCCGATTCTTGGTATGGCCCCGTCACCGTACATGGGTGCATTGGGAACAGCGTCGTCCACGACATCGTTGTCTGCGTCTCGGTTCTCAGCATTAGTTGACCCTTTTTCTTCGCAGCATTAGTAGCTTCTACTAAAGCTGCCAAGGAACTGTAACCTCCAGGTATCGTATCTTCGCTATTTTTCCACTTCTCCGATACTGGTGTGTGCCTCTGCTCTGGACCGGGCGTAGTCGCTGGTGACGCAGAATTCGAATTTTGTCCGGTCGCATTCGGTGTGGACGGGTTTAATCCTAACTTCTTCAGTCGCATCTTCTCTTCCCATTCCTCGAGGCCATGTTTAGGACGATTCAAATTTCTGTGCTGATAGAATACTAATGAAATCCTTGTTGGATTTATTCTATTTGGATTTTTTACAGCTGTCGTAGAATGCATTTCATGTTTTGCACATTCGAATAATACGCTTCCATGGCCTAAGGCTATAGCTACTCCTCCCATTTGGCTATCTTTAAAACATTCCAAGTTATCTGTAAAATCTGTTACTTCTCCGATAGGTTCCGCTTTTGGAGGTTCAGGTGGATATGGAATGGAAAATGGAGGTGGATATAAGCACCAATTAGGCGAAGATTGACACCAATTCGGGTTTGGATTCTGATAAAAATTTGGTGTGAAATTAGGATTATATTGATATCCGTACGAGTTATAACAATGTGAATTTCTTAAGAGTTCTTCTCTTTTGTATTTTTCTGCATTATAATAAGCCAAACTATTGTAATCGTTATATGTATTCTCATAAGGGTTAAAGTGCCCATAAGGATTCGGTGGGAACGGGTAAGCATTGGGCATCTGAGGGTAATTACCGTAACCTTGAATTGGAGTTTGGTTAGAGTAAGCATTTTGATTGATAGGATGAAAATTATTACCAGAAAATTCATGGGGGGGTTTATTCATCACTGCTGTATTTTGATTAACTTCTTCGTGGCTTATAGTAAAGTTTGTTTGTGGACCTGACGTTTGATGTGCAGTATTATTCGGCGCCCTATTATCATATGGACTTCTGTGTTCATAACCTTGGCTTAAATGTGGTCTATCTGATGGTGGATAAGGTTTTAAAAACGTAGAATTTTCAACACCATCTGATGGGTGTTGTGATCTAGATGGAGGTCTGGATTTAGGTACTCTAAACAGAGAGTTCTCATTTTCTGTTGTTAGTTGCTCCTTTGGTTTTGCATCCCAACTCTTGGAATCAGGAGATTTCCATACGCTTTTACGAACATCTGGAGAAGTATTCATTAAATCATTATTTGGAGATTTTAGTTCCGAGCCTTGTGATGGCGCAGGGGACTCGGGGGTGTTTTGTATATTTTGTGCTATTTCCGTGAGCCTCGGAGAGTTGGGCATATCAAATTCGGGTAACTTATTAGCAAGAATATTTTGTTTTTCAGGTTCAGCTATATTTTTCTGTGATAATTGGTCGGAATTAGTTTCACTTCTGTTTGAGTCAGGACTATAATTAGGCGGAATATTTAGATGCGCCGTTGTGGAGTCAGGGTCCTCCTTTACAACATTGTTAAACATTTCAGTGTTAGGGAAATCAGGCCACTGATTTTGAGGCATGTTGTTCATTTGACCTGTATTATTGCTGTTGAACTGATGGTGCCTTTTTTGTAATCCGGCTGCGAAACTCGGAAGTTGATTTTGATTAGTATTTTGACAATTTCCTTCAACTATAGACTGCACAGCATTTTGGTTGTAAATAGAATTTTGATGATGTAGATTGTAACTCTGGTCATAAGGATTATATGGAGAATCTAATACCGTACTAGATATCTGGTTGCTCTGTAACTGTGCATCGGTGAAATTGTCTATCATCGTTGCCATATCCAGCAGGGCAGGATTTCCTAAATTTGAGTTCATAATATTAGAGTTCTGATTATGCATATTGGATGGATTGACGAAAGCCGAATTATACTGCGAGTTATTTGTGAACGCTGAAGGGTTTGATTGATTTAACGCTGGTGTTTGTGCCCTAGGGGAGGCGCTGCTTTGGCTTCGAGGGCTGGCATTGCGCGTATCAGCAGGTTGTGGTGTCCTCGGTGCTGTGGTGGAACACTGCTGTGGTTTCTTTTGGTTGTTGCTAGGACTCTGTTGTGCGTTATTAGTCGAATTATTGCTATCGGCGTTTTCTTCGTCTTTTCGCTTTTTGCCGTGACGCCTGCACGGTTGTAAGGGTACAGACCGAACTCGGACTTCCATAGGATACCTGTAAAAATAAAAAAAATAAACTTAAATGTGTAAAATTTAGTAATTTTTATTGAATTCTTAATAGTTTAGTTATTGTCAATAGTACTGAGATATGGGTAACTTTATTATTTGCTAATTCCCGTTTCCAATCGGATTTAAAATGTTTTACACGACTGAATTGCAAACAAGCCAACAATCTACGTGCTAGTCAACGGTAACTGTTGTCTACTGACATTAATAACATCGGTACCCAAAACCGAGATATCACTAATGCATTGCTATTTCTGAGAATTAATGTGTTATTATTTCTTTTTACTCAATATCAGCACCACCATATCCCATAGTTCAAACCGAAATACAGCTATGCAAGCATAGCTGCTTAGCGGCAGGAACACGAATAGGATAGGGTACCTAAGCACATGACTGTACAAAGTGATGTGCTTAGGTACTCTCTGGTGATTTTTTGTGATTTGTTGAAAGCATCAATCGTATTATACCACTCCTTTGGCGAGCAGAGCACAAACACGAATGGAATAAAGTACACAAGCAAATAATTGTGCAAGTCTGGTAAACTTATGATTTCTTAAAAGAGTCAATCGTACTATACCACTCACTTGTCGAGCACGTCGAGCGCGCCGCTCTTGACCTTCTCGTCCTGGCCGTCCTTGGAGCCGAATTCGTCGGTGGTGTCGAGCACGTAGAGCGGCAGCACGTGTAGCTGCTCGTCGGGCGCTCGCTGCAGGCCGCGGTGCCGCGCCAGCGTCACCACGGCCGTGCACCCGTTGTGCATGTTATGAAGGTCGCGGTGCGCGTGCGCGCAGAAGTCGATGCACGCTGTCACGCCTGCGGCGATACACGTTGTATGTACAGAGAAACTAATGACTCAACAGGTGGAAAATGTTAATTGTACCTACAAACATGAACAGCCCCATAGGTATCACAGAACATATTTTGACGTCCACGATATATTTGTATCCATTCCTGAAAACAAAGGGACTAGTCTGTAGGAGCTTAGTACCCAGTAATTTTATCTGTAGTAAATTTTTTTTAACGATTGTAGGTATATAGCTAAGTTTTAGCTGCTAATAAATGAGTCATTTATAGTTTAAACTAAATACAAACATGCTTCTGCAATTGTTTTGATTTTTCGACCCAAGTCAAATCACTAGATATTGAATCAAAAACTTAATACAATCTTAATCTTAATACAAGAGAAACGAACTTACCAGAAAACGGTCGTCCAGGCTTGAACCCTAATCTGCAATCGGAGGCTTCCTTTTCGAACTGACATTGGTTTTCGAAGGACTTCGGTGCTAGATTCATGTATAACGGACTGAGCAGTGTTGCCAGTACATGCATGCGCTCCTCGATCTCGCTCTCCTCACTCTTGACCGAAAGTCGGAACTTGCGGACTGTTTTTGAACGGGCGTATTTGCATCCATTGTAGTACATGGACCAGGAGCAACCGAAACTGTAGGACGCGCCGCATGTCTCGGGATCTAATCCTGCAATGCACAGTAGGAACGTGAATTAGTTCCATTCTTATAAATACTACATTTGAATATGATTTTTGAGTATATCGGAATAAGGGTGGAAGAGGATCGTTATTAAGAGGGATTAGTGGCCTCTATGTTAGCAATATAATATTCACGTATATTCCACGCGGTCCCTATCCAACCATCGTAGTTGATTCCTGGTGAATTAGTTACAATGGACCAATAGACCATCCTCACCTATGATCACTCATTGGTATTTCGCCATTATATATCGATACTTAGGTGGAGTTTCAAGTTATCGATAGCAATAAAAGTTTATTCTTTACCTTGACAAGCACAAGTCCGGTTTTCATTTGTAGCACATCTTCTAGTAGTAGGTAAACCATATCTGTTTAATTTATGTGATAACAAAGTGTAGTCCAAATCTGCTTCCGATTGCGGGATACCCTCCCAAGCGACGAGGCACACAACTATCCAAGATGTTGCGCACTTGTGCCCATTTCTATATTTCACTACAACTAAAACTTTTTCTGTGTAGTTTGCTCGCCTTATTACCTGTAATTAAAAGTGATTAAAACGTTTTATTAGCGTTAATTAGTAAAAAAAAAAGAAACCAAATACTTATATTAAAGTATAACGAGTTAGATACAGGATTAAAGATTAAGATAGGTTTTAATACCTATAATGTAATTTATTCAATTTATTAATTCACACACTAAATAACACGTGTTAATAGAAATTTTGGGATCCATACACTCACCCACTTAGCCATAGGGCAACCCTGAGGAGATTTTCCTTCTTTGCCCGTGTAGCAGACTTTTTCTATCCTCAGCTCTTTACCAGATAACCCCGTACGGGCTTCTAGATCTTTCCTTAGATCTGCCAGAGATGAAGCAGCTCCTAAAATTTACAATTTATGTCTAAATATTTGTATCTTATATAATTTAACTTGTCTTAGAAACTTATTTAGTACTCACCTAAATGAGTATAGTAACTTCCAGGTTCTGGAGGATTCTTATCAGCTGGAAAACAATTACAATCAGGCACTTCGGTTCTAGAATTATTTCTTAACCTCTCCAAATTTTCTAAGTATTCTTTTGAATAATTGAATTGGTTTTCTTTGGGATTCTTTGCTATTGGTTCTGGTATTGGGGTGCTTGGTTTTGAAACAGTTTTCGGGTCTGCCTTATCAGCTTGTTCAGGATCATCTTCAATAATTTCGTCTTTGGTTTGAAATCCTGGACAAGCGCCGTCTCTCAAGTGTTCTGGTGGAGGTTTTTTAGTAGAACCTTGACGGCAACATGAGTACCCTACTTCATTTCGAAAAATTACTGGGCCACCGTCACCCCTGAATAAATACGGTTCATTCCTTGGTGGCTGATTGTAACAGATATTCTTGTAAATTTTGTGTCCAGGTGGAGAATGTTCTGATTTTATCTGTTCTATATAGTAAGGTGGTTTTGGATCTGCTGGAGTACTTCTACCTGAATTCGCTTTTGACTCGGACTCTTTGTTAGTGTTTATACCATTATAATTTCTATTATATTTTTGAAAGCCCATATTTTCATGTAGCCTAGGAATATGCGAATAGGTTTCTGAAGGATCCGGGGTGCGCTCGTAACCTCCAAAACTATTTTGAAAATTTTGAAAGCCTTGTGATTTCGACCCAAAGTTTTCTTGTTTTATTGTTGAAATTGGTGGTAAAGCGGTACTCTGTTGAGATCTAGCTACCATACCGTTTGGGTATTCTCTATATAAATTATTTAAGGTCTGATCATTTTGTTTTGGATATAGGTTGTGATTGACCAAATGATGGTCATTTTTTATCAACCTATCATCCTTATGATACTGGTAATTATCTGAGATTTCTAATTTTGGTATTAAAGGCGCCGACGGATGTCTAAATTTAGCATCATATGCTTCTCTGTTGTCATAAGCTTTCCTTTGTGCATTCGTATCCCTTGTTGGATTATTTATTTGTTGATTCATTTCCGATACTGGTCCAATGAGCATTTTTGATTGGAAATCTTTACTATCTTGTTGATTATAATTACTATCACTACCATATGCTTCTGCGAATTTTTGCGCTTCATATGGCGCATTTGAGTACGTGCTGAACTGACTTCTTACATCCGCGTAAGATGGTAATTTCTGAGGAGTTTTGGAAACGTTTTTTGACGAAGCGTGTTTATCATATCCTCTCGGAATATTTGTCCCCCCTTCCCATACGTGGTGGCCACCACCTCCGAATTCGTTCATGCTATATGCATGAGCGTTTTGTGAATAATTACCAGCGACAGAATATACCTGTTCGCCTAAACGGTAATTATCTCGGAGATGGTGGCTATACGATAAAAAATGACCGGTATTATTCCTGTCATCGTTGACGGAGACTACCCCGCCTTTTCTATCATCGATTACTCGAGGCGGTCCCTCCCCAGGATCCCCTTTATCTGGTGGCGTATTAGTGCCATCCCGAGTATGATTTTGTTTATTTAATATCATAGTTTTCAGTCTCGAGTTCAAATTAACCCTGTCTGATTGTGAAAACATCTGCTGATCTGATTCGTCCTGCCTCTGTTGCTGCATTTGCTGGTTTTGTAGTTGATTTTGAATTTGCTGTTGTTGATTTTGCATTTGTTGTTGTTGGTTTTGCATTTGTTGTTGTTGTTGGTTTTGCATTTGTTGTTGTTGTTTTTGCAATTGTTGTTGATTCTGCAATTGTTGATTTTGAATTTGCTGTTGCTGATTTTGAATTTGTTGCTGCTGATTTTGTAATTGTTGATTTTGTATTTGTTGCTGGTTTTGCATTTGTTGGTTCTGAATTCTTTGGTTGTGTTGCCACTGACGCTGCTGCCATTCGTTTTGATTTTGCGTTTGACCATTTTCTCTGTATTGCCCGCTATTGTAGCCGCCCGGGTACCCGCTACAATCGAGTGAAGCTCGCGGACCGTTGCTCCCCTGCAGGTACCCAGGCTCGGCGTTTCCCGAATGCTGTCCATTGGGCGTATTTTGTTCTTGTCTCTCCCCTTCGTTACTCGTATCCCCCGTGCTATTCTCTTGATTAGTATATTCTTCCGTGTGTTCTGTGGTATACTCAGTGCGTTCGTAGTTCTGTTGACTAACAGTGTACACTGGCGCCGCTGTAGTTGGCACTGAATTTTGGAATGAAGCTGCTGATGCCGGTCTAGAGTCATTACCACTTGTTGCACCAGGTGTAGGGGCTTGTTGTGCATACTGTTGCTGATATTCTGTTGTGTAATGCGGTGCTCTTGGCGATGGCACTGGTGTATATGCTCCACGGTTGGTTGAAGGTGGCCTCTGAGTAGGAACAGACTGGACTCCCGTCTGGTAGTAGGTATTGTTCGTAACATCAAACGTAGTGGCGACGTTTTGGACGGCGTATGTAGTGTTAGCTTGATAATGAGGTGACGTGGTGTATGCTGTGTGATTGCCTTGATAGTCTAACGTTGTTTGGCCAGTCTGTGTTGGAAGTTGCTGGATGAACTGATTCTGCCAACCTGTTAGCAATAAATGTTAATATACATACAGTTGTCGTCTTAGGGTATTTGTAATAAATGAATTCAATAAAACAGATTTTTAATAGGTACAAAATTTATGTGCAATGTTATTAACTGTTGATGAAATTAAGGGGATAGAGAAACGTACCTTGTGAGGGATCTGTTTGCCATGCTGATGGAAATCTGTTAGGATCGCCGGCGTAGAACGGCATGGGTGCCTGGAACAATTATAATATAAAATAAGTTTATAATGACGTACTAATTAATCACACAAGACTTATTTATACGTTTGATATTATATTCACGGAAAACGTTATTAAAGAAAGTTGAAAAGAACAAGAAAATCATGAGTTATTACTCTGTAAGAATTTTTATTGATGCTTATATATTGTTGACATACCCTAATTCATTTATTATATTAAATTTATTATTTTTTACTCGTAATTATTACTTTTTACATTTTTTGCATCACTTGTCATTAAAATTTATTGTATTCATTATTTTTATAAATAGTGCAATAAAGTGTAAATAAAATAAATAGCATAATTCTAATGATAACAATATGACAATACAACAGGGTAGGAATAAATGTACTGGTCACAATTATTCACAATTAATCGTAACCCCATAGAGTTCTTTTAGAGGTTCTATGTAGAGTCTGCAACAAGAAGTATTATTAAAAAAAAATTGTTTATTTTAACAACTAGTGGCGCCACCTAGTGTCGTAGAGTCGAATGGTCATTGTGATAGTGTCCGTAACCAAAGCTAGTCGGTCGCTCCGTGTACATAATTGTTAGCTGTTTAATACATATTTACAAATATACAATAATTATGAGGGTCTTCACTCTACAAATACGGTCGACGCTCTAAATTACAGGGACACAGTATCTTTTTCCATGAAGTTTGATGTATCTATCGAGAAATAAACAATTTCTCGTAATAAAAGAGATGCGATGCGAGGATAAATACACGCACTGCCTGCATAAATCGGTCGAGGCTACCGCACACCTTGTTATTGTATGCTGTGCTACGTCACTGTCTGTCTGTTGTAATCACATGTTGACCGAGGTCGGGCGACGATGAATGTTTTACGATTTCTAAGATATTTCAACGTCTAATGGAAGCAGTCAATACAGATATGGTTATGTCATGCGCAGAAATGAGAGCCATGTTTTAAAGATTGTTGTTAAGCATGAAAGTGGATGGATGTAAAGAAAGGGGACGTCCGAAGACAAGAATTTGTGGAAGTAAAATACGTACTGCGGCGACCCTTAATAAATGGGGAAAGGCAATGATGATAACGATGACGAAGCTGTCAGTACAGTATCAAGTGTTTATTTCATAAATTTTTACAAAGGTTGCAATCAAATATGCTTTCTTTCTATGAATATTTTAATAAAAAGGCGAGAACAAAAGATCATCGAAAGGTCGCAGTGTCACAGGTTTTTTCTAGACGGGCTTTCCCTGTCTGGAAAAAGCCCAATTCCATTAATAATGAGTATCTTAAGGTCGTATATTTAGAAGTGAAGAAAAAACAAAACGATGATGATAATGTCGAAGCAATCGATTCTGTAATAAGACTTCTTCTTTATCAGTCTTTATCCGTGCTTATATTTTTAAATCAAAAATAAGTATTACCTAAAATATTTTTTTACTTTATTCACATGAGTATAGCTGAATACAATATAGTATGACTCACGACAGTTTTCCTTCAATATAAATTAATCGTTATTATCACTAAATGTTAAAAATAATTTACATTATAAACAATTGTAAAATATTAAAAGGGAAATCTGTTCAAATAGTCAAGTCATTAAACATATTACTTTTTATTATATTTTTTTTATACAACTTAGAATGGCAAACAAGCTGACGGCCCACCTGATGGAAAGTGGTAACCGTCGCCTATAGACACGAGCAGTACTATGGACATAACAGAGTATACTGTTTCGCCTATGATACCCCCCATGCGTTGCTATTCCTGAGAACTCAGGTGTTATTCCTCTGTACCCCGTAAATTCACGCCATATCCCACCCTTCAAACTGAAACACAGCCATGCAAACACAACTGCTTCACGGTTGAAACGCGAATGGGACAGAGGTACCCAAGCAATCGACTTTTGTACAAAGTCTCCCTCTGGTATAATAATGTAATAATACATAAGCCGTAGAATACAGTAAGGCCATATATGTTAAATTACTTAAATGCAACCGCTGTGAACATTATAAGTTGAACTGAGTCGGTAATATCCTTGAAAACTATGAATGGAACGTTTAAAATAAACTCATTAAACAGTAGACTGTTTCAAGGATTATGTTTTAACTATCGGATTGATATATTGCGTTCACATTTTCTCAAAATTGTTATTAATGTCAAACGTCAAACGTCACAAAAATAACCTAAAAATAACCTTGGCAACAATTTATCTATTTATGAATTGCATATGAAGTGTCATCAATATTTGTCCAGTGTTTAGTAATTAAAAACTAATATAGACGAATTGATAGCCAACTTCCAAGGCTTTATTGCAACACATAAATTGTAGATAAAAGTTTAGTACTTACTGCAAGTTTGCAACAACCTTTGTAATTTATAAGAGCTCATATTAAATATCCAGGCGCCATAAAAACCGAATTTTTTTAATTAAAAACAAACTTCCACCGCAACAAACTGAGGCAGTTAAGAACGAAAAGCGGGTAACGAACAATTTTTTTTTTTATAACGAGTCCAAAGTACATTATTTAAATTAGTAAAGTCATGAATGTGTAGCCGTAAGGCATAATCCTTACTTTCTTACTAATGTCCTAATTAGGTTTGTTTGTTACCCCTTTGCACCTTAACGAGTTGACCAACTGTCATGAAGTTTGCTACACATGTGGTATTTGGTACGGAGAAGCACTTTTAGGAGAGGCTAGGAATACTTTTTATCCGAGCCAATTACAATATGAACTGCGCCCGTTTCTGTTTTTCGTCTTTAAACCTTCGTCCACGTGACACGAACGAAGTCGCGAGATACAAACTAGTATTACACGTAGGTATCTAACTGCAATGCATTTAGATAGTGCACCGCCAATTGCACTGCTGAACAGTGTACCATTTACGTTAATTATTTTAAAACTATTTTGGAATCTCTTCACCACAGCTCCGGGAAGTATTGAAGTTGTAGAGAAACCATTACGACGTAACCCATATAATTCTGAGATGTTTATCTGACAAAGATCATATCTTTTTTAAGTCCAATCTTCATAGAACTCTTCAGAAAGACATAGGAAGTTAGATACGACAAATTATTTTAGAAAGTATAACGTAGTTTTTTCTTTCTCATTTTGAATTCAGATGCAACGATGTGCCTGCCTATGTTAATAGTGTCTATACACTGCAGTGGAGGGTAAAATTATGGTCATACAGTCAGGCCAGTCAGCCATCATTTGATTCACTTCATTCATCACTTTATTTGAAAATGTAATAGAGCGTTATTTAAAATTTAATAGATTATTTAGAAGAACGGTAGCAAGTAAACTTCAGCAGTTAGAGAATTATTGAAAAATTATTATAATTTCTTAAAGAATGCTCCGAGCATTTGAGTTTACAAATATAAGTAATTTTATAATTTTTACTAACGTTGCACGTGTGGCTGCGTAATTAAAACTTTGTTTTGTCCTCTTAATGAGATTCTATAACAAGATTATACGTTGATTACACAATTACGAATGTAATTACCAACGACTTCGGTGCGGAATTGTGTTAAATTATGCACGCCGACTCATATTCATAATAAATAGGAATTGATTTTTGAAATAAATAGATAACGTTATATTTGTTTGTTTATTACAATTCATATTTACACAGATTTATAATCATTTATGCAATTAGAATTTGCTATTTCATTGAAACTTTCGTTTAAATTAATAATCTACAAATTTTTTTTTACATCACAAAGTTGGCAAACAAGCATATAGTCTGTCTGTTGATAAACGGTCACTGTATAGATGCCTGCAAATACTAGCGACACTAAAGAAACCTTAATATATTCTATTTGAAGAAACCCACATTGTAGTCTCTAGGGAAAACCTCGACAGGGAGCTCATTCCACAGCTTGAGCATTCGCGGGAGACAACTTCTCTGAAACCGTACTGTATGAGACCATTTAGGTTCACGCGTGCGAGAATGAATTCCCTGTCGATGGCGAGCAGTGCGATGATAGGTATAGGTATAGGTGACAGGGATCAGAATACAATCCGTTATACAAGCAGTAGATGTGTGTTCTAAGAAGGAAGGCAAAGGTCTCACCTTATACTTAAGCGATACTGCTTGTGAATTTGAGATCATCGACAATAAATCATAGCTTGTGTTTGAACCGAGTCAAGAGGACCAATCTGGTATTCACGTGTTTCAGCCCACGTGATTATTACCAACTATTTGATATATTTAATACGTCGTATATAAGTAAACTATCATATTATTGTAATAATTAATAATAATAAAAGAACAGGATGATTTACCTTACAATTTATTTAAATGATAGATATATATTTTATATCGTTCAAATAAATATAAATTTTAGCAGACATTTTGCGTATACAGTAAGTATTTGTTTTATTTTGTAATGTTTTCATTTTCACCGTTCAAACCTAATAATGTACAAACGAGCCGTATCGAAAATTCAAATAAAATTAAACACGCATACACAAACAATACTAATAAAATATATCAAGTAAATACACTATCACTAAATAATTACCATCGTATGCGATTTATTATTAACGGACATAAATAACAGAACTACTCGTAATAGTTAAGTCAGTTACATTGTTTTGTTTGTGGAGCGAATCGTAACTCATCTGTAAAGACACAAGTCGATAGTGATTATTTATTGTTCCACTTTGAACAATGTCTGGTATTTCGAATAGACTCCTTGACTTTCTATTATTTGGCATATTCAGATTACAATTTCTCTACATTAATGATTTGTTGTACTTAATTAATCAAGTAACGTATTTGGAAGAATAGAATGTTAGGATAGAACGAATAAAGTTAAATACACTACACTAGATTGACATATAGGGCACTTTTTACCATAGATTAAGGATATTCTTAATCCCTTAAAAGGTTTTCCCTTAAAAATCTCCTTAAAAGTCTACCAGAGGAAGACTTTGTACAAAAGTCGTTTGCTTGGGCACCTTTGTCTAATTCGTGTTTATACCGTGAAGCAGTTGTGTTTGCATGGCTGTGTTTCGGTTTTGAAGGGTGGGATATGGCGTGAATTTACTGGGTACAGAGGAATAACATCTGAGTCCTCAGGAATGGCAACGCATGGGGGGTATCGTGGGCGAAACAGTATACTCTGTTATGTCTATGGTTCTGCTCATGTCTATACGCGACGGTTACCACTTTCCATCAGGTGGGCCGTCAGCTTGTTTGCCATTCTAAGATGTATAAAAAAAAAAGAATCAAAATGTTCCATTATATACTTGCCTATTAATAAGGAAAGGTAAATCTTATTAACTGCAGTATGAATAAAACGGGACAAAGTAATTTATAATCCAAACTTCTACGAGTACAGTATGAAAGTAATTTTGAGTACGTCGCAGGGCAAATTGAATTTTGCACGATTTTCCTTAGCAGGATGTCTCGTCCGACGAAGTTTGATCCGCAGTGCCAATTAAATTTTCAACGGCGACTGTAATAAAAATAATATAGTAACGAACGAAAAACGTCAAGATGCATTCGACTGTTGGCAGAGTGCCTAACAAGGCCTCTAGTTGAAACAATTGAATTTGTTAGCAGTTCTCGTACTGCCGACACAAGCCGCACACTGTTGATTTAAAAAAAAATTAAACGAGGATCTACGTGATAAAGTTGGAATTCGAAAATTGAAAAATTGGCTTTTAAAAAAGTGGACGTCGTTAAAAAGAATAAATTTTATTATTTGCCAGCTGCTTTTTCTATGTGTATTTGCATTTTTGTATGTAACTTAGAATGGCAAACAAGATGACGGCCCACCTAATGGAAAATGGTAACCATCGCCTATAGACATGAGCAGAACCATAGACATAACAGAGTATGCTGTTTCGCCCATGATACCCCCCATGCGTTGCTATTCCTGAGGACTCGGGTGTTATTCCTCTGTACCCTGTAAATTCACTGCCATATCCCACCCTTCAAAACCGAAACACAGCCATGCAAACACAACTGCTTCACGGTATAAACACGAATTAGACAAAGGTGCCCAAGCAAACGACTTTTGTACAAAGTCTTCCTCTGGTAGACTTTTAAGGAGATTTTTAAGGGAAAACAACTGCTTCACGGTTGAAACACGAATGGGACAGAGGTACCCAAGCAATCGACTTTTATACAAAGTCTCCCTCTGATATATATAAATTTATTTTATAGATATTTTACATTATATTCATATTTAAATTACTAATACTCTTGAACTATAATGAGATTTGAATTTAAACATCTTAAATATTTTAATATTCGTAACGTTACTAATTATTGTTTAATATAACTTTATTTTTAATATAAATTTTAACTTATAATTTTATTAAGTAACAGCGATTGTGCAGGATTCGAGCAAATTACATCGGTTTATTGACGTTAAGTTAAACTTTATAACGTCTTACTTAGTTAAGCTATAAAATGTACCTTTGTCGAAAAATTATATAATAAATGTAAGATGGAGCCAGTTTATCCGTAATACCGTACTAACGAGCGAACGGTTAAGTGAGCCGGAAGCTTTGTAGATAACGGCAACAATAATTAGGAAAACGTAACGCACTGCGTTACGTTTTAAAACTAATTTAATTAGCGCAAAAACATGATTTCACGTTTTTATCAAGTATAATGATACAAAATTTAGAAGTAGGTACATGTTAAGGACGATCTTACTGGAAAAAGGCGGTTTTAAAACGATTTATGCGTCCAATAGAAGTGAGCACATGTAAGCGTATGCATTAGGTTAAGGATAAATATTATTGATCTATCATTGACTTACTGCATTGACATATCTAGTTCATACATAAACTAGTGACGTGCCCCTGCTTCGCACGGATGCACATTACATCACATTACATTAGAAACGTCTAAAATTATCAGTTTCTCTATAATATTATGCATGCATTTATTATACATATAAACCTTCCTCTTGAATCACTCTATCTATTAAAAAAAAAACTGCATCAAAATCCGTTGCGAAGTTTTAAAGATCTAACCATATTAGGCACAGACATACGGAAAGCGATTTTATTTTATAATATGTAGTGATAAAACAATTATTCCGTGATGGTATATATACTTAATCAAAATTCAATTGTGGATTTTAATTAGGTATACATGTATGTATTCGATGCATGTACTAAAGTTGAAGTGGCCCACTGAATGCTTTCTGCCAACTATCATTATAAGGGACTGGGAATGCAGATGTGAATGAAAAGTAGATAAGATTTAAATTGGGTGTTGAAACAGGCGACTAAGGGTATTTAAAGGGCATTTAAATGGGCAACTACTGCCCCTCAGCAGAGACCTATGTTTAGCAATGGACAGTAAACGATAGATATGATGAAATCAAAGTTTAGGCATTAGGGACTTAATTAGGCTTTTGTTTTTTCACTAATAAAAGACCAGTAATAACTTAGTTTAAAATAAAACAGACGAACAAAGTTAATCCCTAATTCTGATTTAAAAAAAAAAAAAACTATATCAATATCCAATTACAAATTCATAAAAGCCATATGTGAAGGCAGATTCTAAAACTTACCATGGGCTGACTGGGGTGCTCCTGCTTCATGCCTGGCGTGGTGGCCGGGGCAGGGCTGGGCGCGGCGGGGGCTTGCGGGGCTGGACTCGGGGACGCCGCGGCAGGCACGCCGGGGCTCAGACCGGGCACGCCGGGCACGGTCGGGGCACCAGGGACGCCGGTGCCGAGTGGTTTGCGGCCACGGTAACTCTGTAACAGGGTTGCCAGTTAGATAATAATGGATGATAAATGTGAGCGAATCATAGATTGAGTCGAGTATAACGTTCACCAACAATGCTTCTAATTGCCTTATTAGGAATACGAATTATAGGCATGAGCATTTTTATCTTTATTTTTGGATAAATGGATTACAGGTAGTAAATATATGAAGTTCCTAAGATTCGAAGAGACAACCTTAATGTTGCAAAGGAAGAGAAATATGCAGTTAATTGGCTTGAGACTGTTCTATGTGGTAACCAGGTAAGAATAGGCGGGGCAATCTTTAATAGTGGATGAATATGGGTTAATGAGATTTTTAGTGAAAATAAAAATTTTTCAAAATTAATCCTACTTAAACCGTATGGTTACAAAAGCCGTATGGTCCCGGCATAGAATGGCCTACTCCTTCCTTCCTTCCTTCCTGTGCGTATCGTAAGATAGTCGCCTCTTACGACATCCACAGCGAACTTAATAGTCGAGGGATGGGCAGCAGCGTCTCAGTCGAAACGTCACCAAAATCTAATTGCGGTTGATAATTCGCCTGTCAAGCGTGGAAACTACTGGCGAAACCCTTCTTTTGGGTGAGGCCTATGTTCAGCAGTGGGCAATAGATGGTCGATATGACGATGATGATGATGATGATGATGATACTTTACATACTGTTTCATGGTCGAAACGGCTAGTGCTATAAAATTTAATAATAACTATATTATCCCATGCAAAGCTAATTAGTAAAGCAAGATTGCTGGCCAGGTGGCGTGGTATAAGTTTTATTTCGAGATTTCTTTCTTCTTTATTACTATATTGTATTGCGTTCCCATACTGTTAATTCTCGGGATTAATTGATTATTAACGTTAAGTCAATCATAAGAATAATTTCTTATTAATTAGGCATATTTTAGGTATATTACAATACTATTAAATATTACAATAGGTGCGTTTAACGATCATAAGCGTAGTTCAAACAACATCAACATACAATCATTGCATACAAAATGGGTCACTCAGTTAACTGTAGCAAATCTATCTCGGCCTAGTTTCAAATGTACTGTAAATACACCGATAAATTTCCGGAATAAAATGAAATACTATCCGATTTGCTAGAACTAACTAGAAGTTAATAACGGTAATGCTCTATCATGCACGATAGACTTCCTTTTTCGAATCGTGCGCTCTGATTGGAAGGTGTTGGAACGCGCTTCGCAATAATTTAAAATTGGAAAGGAAATTTAAATTGTAGGAATAGATTTATAAATTATAGGTTATTATTACAGAGTAATAAGTGTTATTTGCAATAATGGTTATTCGCGTAGAAATACTGAAATACGAACATAGCTAGTAAATTATTAATATTTTTACGACAGATGAAGCAATCAAGTTCATATAGTTAATGAACCTTAAAAAACAAGTTCTTTTTTTTAAATCCTCTGCAAGAACATTAGTAATTTATTTCAAGCGTACGAAGTTTCCTTCTAGTTCATAATCATCATCATCATCATTAATTGTTCACTGCTGAACATAGCCTATGTTCTCTTTAGTTCTCTTTAGTCTAAAGAACGGTCTTGAGCCAATTCATTGATTCCCCGCAAGCTATTAGCTGTTTCTTTCTTTATCTATCTCAATAATGAAGTACCGCGGTTGTGAGTCACTGTTTATCCCAAAAGTTGACAGGTGGAAAATTATTATTAAGTCCGCATTTTGTACCATATTTTCTTATTCTCTTTGGCCAAGAAAATTATTTAAATAAATAAATATCCATTTAGTGGGGAGACGCCCTGCATTCCGTCCTCTAGTTAGAAAATGAAAAATTTTATTATCCACTCCATATGGTTTCTGATTCTGATAATAATTATATTGAGATATAAGAGTATATATTATAATATATATAGGTTCCAATTCAACTACTTCAGAATTCTGTTTACTGAGACAAATTATAAATTTGCCAATATATTTAAATAACAAAACTAATAAAAACATTGATAATGATAAATAGTGGGTGATTAACATTCATATAACGGCAATATAAGTAATAATACTATATATAACTCTAATAATGAAAGCAGCACCTAGCATTCGACGTGATGCAATAATCGAAAGAGCTGCAGTTACCTAGTAAGTTCACCTGGCACAACGAATGTTCATTGCGGTCTTAAAAAGATATTACTTTTTATAGAACAGATATTAGCAATGTTATTTCAAATTAAAGATTAATACTTCTAAAGAAATTGAATACAAAAATGATTGCGCACAACTGCAAAAAAGGACGTTCGAAATTTGAAATGTTTATTTTTTCTGGCTGCATAGCACAGCCCTGTTAATGTAATTCCGAATAATTGTAATATGGGGCCTATTGTATGCATATTTGGCCCTTTTGTGTTCAACGCACCGTAATATAGTAATTTTTCATAGTTCGATGTGGTTCGATGCATCTTTTATAATGATAATCGAAATCTTTAAATTAAATCACTTTCACAACGAGGCCGAGTCGTTTTAGTAGAGTTGTGAGACTTCCATTTCTTCGGTCTAATGCATTTTAGGTTATTTAATTCTTGCTTTTACCGAGATAATTAAATTCATTAAAAAATACTAACGCTACTTACTAATACTCGTTTAAGAGGCAACGGTTTCTAGGCCATTTTCTTTATACATTAAGATATTTAGTTTACAGGTTAAGGGCCTTACGCGCCTTCCGAAGCACTAAGTAAGGAACAATCATATCGTACATTTTGTTCTATATAAAAAAAAAAATTATGCTGCGAAAAACTAATTATTTTTAACAAATAGCCACTGTCATTCGAGAAATGTAAAGATTCTAACGATCCAAATAAGTATGAAGTTACGTCGGGACAAAGGAACTACATACACGAAACCTGAAAACGTTACACTTCTTTTTTCGGCAGTCGTGCAATGACCCAAATTTGAATTAGAAAATTTGTAGGTTGGCTGGAATTTGACCTTAGAATCCCCGGACCATAGTCAAAGGTTTTCCAATTGAACTGTCACCGGATAATTCAATCAGTAACATAGGCGTGTTTGAGGTCAGGGAGGGGTGACGTATTTAGCGCCATTTTTAAAGGGCCAGGCCCGCCCTAGGAAATAATCCTAAATATGCGAATGATCGTGCGTTGCAGGGAGTCAGTGGATGCAGGTGGTTCCGGACCGTTCCTTATGGCAGTCTATGGAGGAGGCCTATGTTCAGCAGTGGACAGATAATGGCTGAGATGATGATGATGATGTTAATGATCAATAAAAAAAATTTGCTACTACAAAATAGCAGAAAGTTTCAATACATTTATGTACAATTTTTTATAATAATTCTATGCTGATATTGCTGTGGACACTATTGGTTGTTCCCATGGCTTCACCACAAGGAATCAACAAACTTGGGAAGCTGAAATGTACAATATTATAAATTCCATACGGCGTAAGATATTGTATTGTTTTTTTTTTAAACAAGTAAGTAAATGCGCGTTCGTCTTTCAATACAAGAAATACATTTTAATGTGATTATTTCGGTTCATTACACCACAATAGTCGATAACTCAACTTCCCAGAGGCAGGTTTTAGTTTCCAGGTAAAATTATTCTATTTTAAAAAGAATAAGTTTTAAAAGCTTTATTTTAAGAAATACGATAGCGAAATATTATTTTTCATAAAATTATATTACCTCTGCAGTCGGCGCTTGGATAAAAAATAATGTTACGTAGGTATTATTAAAGTTAAACGAGCTTTTTATGTTTCGAGCTAAGTATGAAATCATATTTTATTTTAAATTCTATTTATTTTTTCTAAGATTTTTTTAATGAAAACAATGTATCTCTATTATATTTTATTTTACTGTTTACATAATAAATCATGGCGGACATCATGCAGATGTTTTTATCGACTATTTATCTACACTATTTCTATTGAAATTTTTATAAAAATTAAAATATGTTTTAGTAAAGAGGCTGTCGACTTCTCTTACGAAAGTGGCAACTTTTGAGTATACGGGAGGGAGGTTATTTATTCTGCTGGGTAAAAGAGTCAATATTCTCTTGGTGAATCTGTCATGATGAACCGACTGATTTGACTTCATCCTCGCCTGTCATCTCGCACTGGCATTCCAAGAACGCAAATTATTTATAATTCTTGCCGTTTTTGACTTGACCACTATACTTATATCTGGCCTTGCAACTTGTTATGATTTGTATTTAAAAAAAAATACGTTGTATATAAACTTGAATGGTATTGAACAGTATCGATGCCTTCATGAAAAATATCCCTTCATTTAGTAAACGTTCAATCGCGGGGAAGGTACAGAGATAGCTGTTCTTCTATGAGTCACTAAATTTACAGCGGACCTACTAATAATATTTAATTTGTCAAAATCGAGGTCAACGTAGCTAAAATTAAACTTGAGATGCATCCATTTACACGTAAATTGTTGGGCGATAATTCAAAATTTGCGCTGGACGACAAAGCGCGCCGTACATTAAAGTGCAAACAAAGACCTTTTGTTGGGCGCCAAGTCCGGCGGCCCTGTAAACTCCGCTTTTGTCCAACTTGTGCAACTGGCTTCGGACTTTATTTAATTGTTTTTGGTTGTTGTGACAAAGTCGTTAAGTGGTGATCTGTGGTTGGAGGTATTGTTTCCACCAATTTTAAGCGATTTCACTCTAAAACAAATATAGCCACCTGCGTGGTGGTAAAAACCGTTAAAATATTTGTGAGATATGTCACTTAAAGAGATTTTTTAAATAAATTTTCGATGAAGTTAAATAGCTCTCACTACATTCAATTGTAAATATTGAAATTAATAATTTTATGTGATTGACATTTGCTATTAAATATTTACGAAATAAATTTGCAGCGATTGTCAATTCCAGTACAGGGATTGAACGAAATTGTTAACTATTTTAATTTTAGCTCCCGTATTCACATTTCGCATAACACTGTAACATATACATTAAGGGTAGTCAGTACTAACGTAGGTTAAACATATTTGAATT